TACATGTCTCTGACTGTGGCAGGGGACAGACAAGTGTACCTTGTGTAGTCTGTACATGTCTCTGACTGTGGCAGTGGACAGACAAGTGTACCTTGCGTTTGTCTGTACATGTCTCTGACTGTGGCAGTGGACAGACAAGTGTACCTTGGGTTAGTCTGTACATGTCTCTGACTGTGGCAGGGGACAGACAAGTGTACCTTGGGTTAGTCTGTACATGTCTCTGACTGTGGCAGGGGACAGACAAGTGTACCTTGTGTAGTCTGTACATGTCTCTGACTGTGGCAGTGGACAGACAAGTGTACTTTGGGTTAGTCTGTACATGTCTCTGACTGTGGCAGTGGACAGACAAGTGTACCTTGGGTTAGTCTGTACATGTCTCTGACTGTGGCAGTGGACAGACAAGTGTACCTTGGGTTAGTCTGTACATGTCTCTGACTGTGGCAGTGGACAGACAAGTGTACCTTGGGTTAGTCTGTACATGTCTCTGACTGTGGCAGTGGACAGACAAGTGTACCTTGTGTAGTCTGTACATGTCTCTGACTGTGGCAGGGGACAGACAAGTGTACTTTGGGTTAGTCTGTACATGTCTCTGACTGTGGCAGTGGACAGACAAGTGTACCTTGGGTTAGTCTGTACATGTCTCTGACTGTGGCAGTGGACAGACAAGTGTACCTTGGGTTAGTCTGTACATGTCTCTGACTGTGGCAGTGGACAGACAAGTGTACCTTGGGTTAGTCTGTACATGTCTCTGACTGTGGCAGTGGACAGACAAGTGTACTTTGGGTTAGTCTGTACATGTCTCTGACTGTGGCAGGGGACAGACAAGTGTACCTTATGTAGTCTGTACATGTCTCTGACTGTGGCAGTGGACAGACAAGTGTTCCTTGTGTAGTCTGTACATGTCTCTGACTGTGGCAGGGGACAGACAAGTGTACCTTGCGTTTGTCTGTACATGTCTCTGACTGTGGCAGGGGACAGACAAGTGTACCTTGGGTTAGTCTGTACATGTCTCTGACTGTGGCAGTGGACAGACAAGTGTACCTTGGGTTAGTCTGTACATGTCTCTGACTGTGGCAGTGGACAGACAAGTGTACCTTGGGTTAGTCTGTACATGTCTCTGACTGTGGCAGTGGACAGACAAGTGTACCTTAGGTTAGTCTGTACATGTCTCTGACTGTGGCAGTGGACAGACAAGTGTACCTTGGGTTAGTCTGTACATGTCTCTGACTGTGGCAGTGGACAGACAAGTGTACCTTGTGTAGTCTGTACATGTCTCTGACTGTGGCAGGGGACAGACAAGTGTACCTTGGGTTAGTCTGTACATGTCTCTGACTGTGGCAGTGGACAGACAAGTGTACTTTGGGTTAGTCTGTACATGTCTCTGACTGTGGCAGTGGACAGACAAGTATACTTTGGGTTAGTCTGTACATGTCTCTGACTGTGGCAGTGGACAGACAAGTGTATTTGGGTTTGTCTGTACATGTCTCTGACTGTGGCAGTGGACAGACAAGTGTACCTTGGGTTAGTCTGTACATGTCTCTGACTGTGGCAGTGGACAGACAAGTGTACTTTGGGTTAGTCTGTACATGTCTCTGACTGTGGCAGTGGACAGACAAGTGTACTTTGGGTTAGTCTGTACATGTCTCTGACTGTGGCAGTGGACAGACAAGTGTACCTTGGGTTTGTCTGTACATGTCTCTGACTGTGGCAGTGGACAGACAAGTGTACCTTGGGTTAGTCTGTACATGTCTCTGACTGGCAGTGGACAGACAAGTGTACCTTGGGTTAGTCTGTACATGTCTCTGACTGTGGCAGTGGACAGACAAGTGTACCTTGGGTTAGTCTGTACATGTCTCTGACTGTGGCAGTGGACAGACAAGTGTACCTTGGGTTAGTCTGTACATGTCTCTGACTGTGGCAGTGGACAGACAAGTGTATCTTGGGTTAGTCTGTACATGTCTCTGACTGTGGCAGGGGACAGACAAGTGTACCTTGGGTTAGTCTGTACATGTCTCTGACTGTGGCAGTGGACAGACAAGTGTACCTTGGGTTAGTCTGTACATGTCTTTGACTGTGGCAGTGGACAGACAAGTGTACCTTGGGTTAGTCTGTACATGTCTCTGACTGTGGCAGTGGACAGACAAGTGTACCTTGGGTAAGTCTGTACATGTCTCTGACTGTGGCAGTGGAAAGACAAGTGTACCTTGGGTTATTCTGTACATGTCTCTGACTGTGGCAGGGGACAGACAAGTGTACCTTGTGTAGTCTGTACATGTCTCTGACTGTGGCAGTGGACAGACAAGTGTACCTTGGGTTATTCTGTACATGTCTCTGACTGTGGCAGTGGACAGACAAGTGTACCTTGGGTTAGTCTGTACATGTCTCTGACTGTGGCAGGGGACAGACAAGTGTACCTTGTGTAGTCTGTACATGTCTCTGACTGTGGCAGTGGACAGACAAGTGTACCTTGGGTTAGTCTGTACATGTCTCTGACTGTGGCAGTGGACAGACAAGTGTATCTTGGGTTAGTCTGTACATGTCTCTGACTGTGGCAGGGGACAGACAAGTGTACCTTGGGTTAGTCTGTACATGTCTCTGACTGTGGCAGTGGACAGACAAGTGTACCTTGGGTTAGTCTGTACATGTCTCTGACTGTGGCAGTGGACAGACAAGTGTACCTTGGGTTAGTCTGTACATGTCTCTGACTGTGGCAGTGGAGAGACAAGTGTACCTTGGGTAAGTCTGTACATGTCTCTGACTGTGGCAGTGGACAGACAAGTGTACCTTGGGTTAGTCTGTACATGTCTCTGACTGTGGCAGGGGACAGACAAGTGTATCTTGGGTTAGTCTGTACATGTCTCTGACTGTGGCAGTGGACAGACAAGTGTACCTTGGGTTAGTCTGTACATGTCTCTGACTGTGGCAGTGGACAGACAAGTGTACCTTGGGTTAGTCTGTACATGTCTCTGACTGTGGCAGTTGACAGACAAGTGTACCTTGGGTTAGTCTGTACATGTCTCTGACTGTGGCAGTTGACAGACAAGTGTATCTTGGGTTAGTCTGTACATGTCTCTGACTGTGGCAGTGGATAGACAAGTGTACCTTGGGTTAGTCTGTACATGTCTCTGACTGTGGCAGTGGACAGACAAGTGTATCTTGGGTTAGTCTGTACATGTCTCTGACTGTGGCAGTGGATAGACAAGTGTACCTTGGGTTAGTCTGTACATGTCTCTGACTGTGGCAGTGGACAGACAAGTGTACCTTGTGTAGTCTGTACATGTCTCTGACTGTGGCAGGGGACAGACAAGTGTACCTTGGGTTAGTCTGTACATGTCTCTGACTGTGGCAGTGGACAGACAAGTGTACCTTGGGTTAGTCTGTACATGTCTCTGACTGTGGCAGTGGACAGACAAGTGTACTTTGGGTTAGTCTGTACATGTCTCTGACTGTGGCAGGGGACAGACAAGTGTACCTTATGTAGTCTGTACATGTCTCTGACTGTGGCAGTGGACAGACAAGTGTACCTTGTGTAGTCTGTACATGTCTCTGACTGTGGCAGGGGACAGACAAGTGTACCTTGCGTTTGTCTGTACATGTCTCTGACTGTGGCAGGGGACAGACAAGTGTACCTTGGGTTAGTCTGTACATGTCTCTGACTGTGGCAGTGGACAGACAAGTGTACCTTGGGTTAGTCTGTACATGTCTCTGACTGTGGCAGTGGACAGACAAGTGTACCTTGGGTTAGTCTGTACATGTCTCTGACTGTGGCAGTGGACAGACAAGTGTACCTTGTGTAGTCTGTACTTGTCTCTGACTGTGGCAGGGGACAGACAAGTGTACCTTGGGTTAGTCTGTACATGTCTCTGACTGTGGCAGTGGACAGACAAGTGTACCTTGGGTTAGTCTGTACATGTCTCTGACTGTGGCAGTGGACAGACAAGTGTACCTTGGGTTAGTCTGTACATGTCTCTGACTGTGGCAGTGGAGAGACAAGTGTACCTTGGGTTAGTCTGTACATGTCTCTGACTGTGGCAGTGGACAGACAAGTGTACCTTGGGTTAGTCTGTACATGTCTCTGACTGTGGCAGTGGACAGACAAGTGTACCTTGTGTAGTCTGTACATGTCTCTGACTGTGGCAGTGGACAGACAAGTGTACCTTGGGTTAGTCTGTACATGTCTCTGACTGTGGCAGTGGACAGACAAGTGTACTTTGGGTTAGTCTGTACATGTCTCTGACTGTGGCAGTGGACAGACAAGTGTACCTTGGGTTAGTCTGTACATGTCTCTGACTGTGGCAGTGGACAGACAAGTGTACTTTGGGTTAGTCTGTACATGTCTCTGACTGTGGCAGTGGACAGACAAGTGTATTTGGGTTTGTCTGTACATGTCTCTGACTGTGGCAGTGGACAGACAAGTGTACCTTGGGTAAGTCTGTACATGTCTCTAACTGTGGCAGGGGACAGACAAGTGTACCTTGGGTTAGTCTGTACATGTCTCTGACTGTGGCAGTGGACAGACAAGTGTATCTTGGGTTAGTCTGTACATGTCTCTAACTGTGGCAGGGGACAGACAAGTGTACCTTGTGTAGTCTGTACATGTCTCTGACTGTGGCAGTGGACAGACAAGTGTACCTTGGGTTAGTCTGTACATGTCTCTGACTGTGGCAGTGGACAGACAAGTGTACCTTGGGTTAGTCTGTACATGTCTTTGACTGTGGCAGTGGACAGACAAGTGTACCTTGGGTTAGTCTGTACATGTCTCTGACTGTGGCAGGGGACAGACAAGTGTACCTTGGGTTAGTCTGTACATGTCTCTGACTGTGGCAGTGGACAGGCAAGTGTACCTTGTGTAGTCTGTACATGTCTCTGACTGTGGCAGGGGACAGACAAGCGTACCTTGTGTAGTCTGTACATGTCTCTGACTGTGGCAGGGGACAGACAAGTGTATCTTGTGTAGTCTGTACATGTCTCTGACTGTGGCAGGGGACAGACAAGTGTACCTTGGGTTAGTCTGTACATGTCTCTGACTGTGGCAGTTGACAGGGTTTTCAGGGGCTCTCCACTCAATCCACCTATCTCAGCCTTGTCATCACTCATAAGACTTGGGGGACGGGACACAGTTGTGTTTGTTACAATCAGACCATCAACACCACACTGTGAAAAAACAAAAATGGGTTTTTCAGATTAAAAACGATGTTTTATTGGTCTGTTTTCAGTCGTACAAATGGGTATCTCATACCTTTAGTCGCACGTTAAAAGGAAGCCAGAAGCTGGAATGTAAACAATAAACTTGTTTCCGTCCGGTTGCGCACGCACCTCCCTATGATATGTCACAAATCTCGAAGAATAAGCCATCAAGCAGGACTGGACTGGATTACTTCCCAGTGGGGATGGCTGGGTGGGAACGTACGACTGAAAACAGACCAATAAAACATCGTTTTTAATCTGAAAAACCCATGTTTTAGTCTGTTTTCAGTCGTACAAATGGGTAGAATTCGACGGAACACTGGAAGGAGGGTCGGGGAAGTAATCAGGAAGTGACCTCTTTCACGTCGAATGTACCAAGTTCCTCACCCCTGTAGTGACAATAGAACATTCGACCAGATGCACGGACGAGACAAATTGTTTATAGAACGCACAGCATGGTTAATGCTCATAGACACACAACTAACTATCGATGCGACAGGACAACTGCACGGGTCAGTTGAACTGCGATCGAAGTGGTCGACGTATAGTTTAGTTACAGAGCAACACGCAGTATACAAGGTAACTAAAACAGCATGTGTAATGCTCTTCGACCCACAAGTAAGTATCGATGCGACAGGACAACTGCACACGTCAGTTGAATTGCGATCGAAGTGTGGTCGGCTTATAATGTAGTTACAGAACGACTCGTCGTATCCAAGGTAACGAAAAATAGCATGGTTAATGCTCTTCGACACACAACTAATTATCGATGCGACAAGACAACTGCACACGTCAGTTGAATTGCGATCGAAGTGTGGTCGGCGCATAATTTAGGTACAGAGCAACTCGCGGTATACAAGGTAACTAAAAAATACGAGCAGTACTATAAAGTATGGGAAGACGATGCATACACCGAATAACCATAATAAAACAGCCGAAGTACTGCATGCAACAAAAAAACAGAAGAATGCGTACATTCACCAACAGTTTTTATTGTAACCTGCGAAGAGATCTACTTGAGGCAACCAGAGTTGATCTGTCAGCGGATGAAAAACTGTCGGGTGGATCATCCACCCCGTGGGAGACGGCCTTGATGGTCTCGACAGGGCGTCGACTATCACATTCTTGGCCCCCGGGATGAGACGGGCGCGTACGCCCATGTCTAAGGGTCCTCACTTCTGCCCCTGCTGGCTCTGTCCCCCCCTGGGATACTTGGAAAAGGAGACCTGGCGACCTTTTCTGTCCGCATCACTCTCGCGGGACGGCTGTCGAGGCGTGTCCCTACGAAAGGCCTGTTGCACATTCTCGTTTCTATAACGGCGTCGTGGGGCGTTCGAAACCAGTGGCCACCTGGACATGTTGTGTGAAGCCGAATTGATGATGTCACGCTCGGCTTCCTTGGAATACTTGTCCAGAACATCGTTGGTACGACCGTCAAACAACTGTTGCGATGACCACGGGGCCCGTTAGAGAGTCCTGCCATGACGATCAGGTAGGTCAGTGCAGACGATGTAACCATGACGACGTGCCGTAGTAATCTGGCCCGATACACATCGGGACTGGGCGAGGACGTCCAAGATCCACCGTTGCATACAGGTGAGGATTGATGGCACCGTCCTTTCGTCCTCGTCGAGGGGGTCTTTCTCCTCAAAGTACACTGAGAGGGCCTCGATCGCTGTCGACAGCATAGCAAGCGGTTGTAGCTGGTGACGAACAGCAGTGTCCATGGATTCCAAATGCCTGTCTTCTACTAGAATCTTGGAGGGCGCTGGTGTCTTGAAGAGTAGCCCCCAATCCAAGTCCCTACTCATGGGTGACGAAAACGGCATGCCATAGATCGGGTAACTAGATCGACCAGGCGGCTTGTTGAAACTCTGTCCCGGTAGAGCAGAGGCAAAGTTCTGGTCCATATCGTGAGCCATGGCTCTGAAGACATCGGGAGGTGAAAACTGAAGAGACTGTGGCGTATCTCCGACTTTAAAGCCAGCACGCGTCGGTTTGTCGGCATCATTTGATAACTCAGGCAGAAAGTTAGATAGCCAAGCAAACAACTCAATGTATTTGGGAGGCCTAGGCTGTCGTCACAATCCATCGTGTACTGGTCCATGGTCCATGGACCTCCGACGTAGTCGAATCCTTCTTGGTCGACGCCGTCGAGGCGAGTACCGCCGCCGTGATCTGGGCTATCAAAGTCGGGTCGATAGGAAAGTGAGACGAGGGTGTCGATCGGTTATCAGCTCTATGATGCTGATCTCCAAAAAACACCCTTCGAGAGCGTCGCACTTCCCCGTGGGGGCGAGGGCTATGATCTCTTACTGTAGAAGTACTACGATCCCCATCGTAATTATCGTCCGAAACGAACTCACGACGTCCACAAAGGCGACGAACGTCCTCGTGTCGTTTACTGTCTCTCGACAGGGCCCTCGACCTGTCTTCCTGTGAACGGGAACGACTTCTAGAGAGGGATCTGTGTTCACTGTCGACCCGCACGACATTCCTATCGTTATTGGTAGGACGAGAGACGGACCGACTGGGGACCGTAGTCCCCTCATGGTCCTCGTCACCACCCGGTCCCATCGTAACGGGGGTGGCTGAGTGACGCTCTCGATCAACCGATTGACGAAGATCAGTCGTGCGGGTAGTATCAACAGCAGGCGAACGGTCACGTGTCTTGTCGAAAACATAAGTTGACTGAGGCGGGTCTTTATCAACTGATTTCTTGGGTGTGGCCGACGCGCCACCCCCAGGGCCAGATGTAGAGGATGCAGAGTCCAAGGATCCACCCGATGACCTTCTCTGCTTGTAGCGCTGGTCAGTAGCCCGCTTCGCCAACGCACGAAGATACAAGTTAAAGTTGATAGAAGACAAGTGCTCACATTCTTTACAACGTTTATCCCACGAACACGTTGAAAACCCGTCCTTAATTATGCAGGAAGGACAATACTTGTGAGGATCTACTTTAGACAGTATTCAGTGACACGAGGAACAAATGCCCGACATGTTGCCACGTGTATAATCAAGTCAAACAGTGAAACACGTGTTGAACACAAACAATGGATTTCCAAGGATTACATTCCAGGAGTCTACAGGGAAGACATATTATCATTACTTTATTAGAACAACAACTGTAGACACACGATAAGTACTAGTAGACAACAAACTAGCAGTCTATCGCATAAGTCCTTCTCGAGAGACCAGCTCAGAGGCGAGCTGAGAGATTTGTGACATATCATAGGGAGGTGCGTGCGCAACCGGACGGAAACAAGTTTATTGTTTACATTCCAGCTTCTGGCTTCCTTTTAACGTGTGACTAGAGGTATGAGATACCCATTTGTACGACTGAAAACAGACTAAAACATACATGTACAAACAAATTGTTTTCAGCTCAATCCATGGAGCAGTTTATAAAAGGAACTAACAATTGCAAAATTTGCATGGATGAGAGCAGGTTTTCCCGAAAAAAAAGAGGAAAAGTCTGGGTGGGGTTGTTTTTTTCCGAGGACTACTGTTATTTTCCGCGCTTCCGTGCAGATTTCACATACCTGAATTTGACAAGGACTTGCAGCATAGTAGCATCTGCCTGGAGAGCCTATGGCTGGGGGTTCAAACCTTGGCAGTATCATACCAAAAGACTTTAAAAGACAGTACTTGTTGTTACCCTGCCAGACTAGTAAAAGCAGCTTCACAAACACACAAACACACACACACACACTCATGCACACACATATCCCAGTATATAAGTGCAATGATCCTGAATACAATGAAAAATCCCTTTCCCCAACTGGTAGGACAAGATGCCGAGAGTCTCACCTTCTTCTTGGAGACAACTGCTGCAATATCCTGCTTGTCCTGGTCAGTGAGGTCGGGCGCTATCTTCACAAGCAGGGGCGGCTTATGACTCCCTCTCAGCTCATCCCGTGCAGTCACCACCTGTACAACAGGAAAAACTGTTTACTTGTTGGAGTTCAATGACTGAATAAAGACTTGTACAACATTTACAACTTTGTATACTTGTAGTTCAGTGGCTGAATAAAAACTTGTATAACATTTACAACTCTGTATACTTGTAGTTCAGTGACTGAATAAAGACTTGTACAACATTTACAACACTGTATACTTGTTGGAGTTCAATGACTGAATAAAAACTTGTACAACATTTACAACTTTGTATACTTGTAGTTCAGTGGCTAAATAAAGACTTGTACAACATTTACAACACTGTATACTTGTAGTTCAGTGACTGAATAAAGACTTGTACAACATTTACAACACTGTATACTTGTAGTTCAGTGACTGAATAAAGACTTGTACAACATTTACAACACTGTATACTTGTAGTTCAGTGACTGAATAAAGACTTGTACAACATTTACAACACTGTATACTTGTAGTTCAGTGGCTAAATAAAGACTTGTACAACATTTACAACTTTGTATACTTGTAGTTCAGTGGCTAAATAAAGACTTATATAACATTTACAACTTTGTATACTTGTATTTCAGTGGCTGAATAAAGACTTGTACAACATTTACAACACTGTTTACATGTAGTTCAGTGACTGAATAAAGACTTGTACAATATTGACAACACTGTATACTTGTAGTTCAGTGGCTGAATAAAAACTTGTACAACATTTACAACTCTGTATTCTTGTAGTTCAGTGACTTGCACAACATTTACAACATCATTCATAAAGTCAAACAACATATTACCCGAATAAATTGTTGTATGTGTCTTGACCTTGTCTGTTTATATGACAGCAAGGTATGTAATTCCTGTTATAATCTCACTAATTATGTCTACACTGGACTAAATATTTGTCCTGACACAAGTCCTATTAAAACAGAATCCACCATACTTTATCTAGGAGGTCCTCCAGCTGCTGCCGACCCTGCAGACTTCGCAAGCCAGGTGTGTTTGGGCTGGACACGTTGATGACTAGGTAATCAGCCACACAGCCGAACTTCTTCACACCTCTCACATAGTCCTGCCCTGAATCTGTTGATGTCTTGTTTTTGCCCAGGTTCACACCAAGCACACCTTCATAAAGAATAAGAACTAAGAATTGGAAATACATAATCTGATGACATTTACTTGGTCATAATATTTCAAATAACCTGACAAGAATCTTGCAATCACTTGGTTATTTGGTTCCACAGATGCTGTGCTTAGCAGATCATTAACATCATGTTTTTTTGCTTTTTTAAAGCATCACACTCAGGAATATTCCAGCTATATGACAGTGTTCTATAAATATTGGAGTCTAGACCAGACAATCCAGTGATTGACATCATGAGTATCGATCTATGCAATTAGGATACAATGACATGCACCAACAAAGTCAGCAGGCCTGACAACAAAATCATATTAGTCGCCTCATACGACAAGCATGGCTTGTAAATGACCAATTCTAGCCCGGATCTTCATGGGTCTCAAGACCTGAATGTAGATATTTTGACTTGACCACTTACATAACAAGGGCAACGTTCCAATATCTTAATGTGGTCTACAGAGTTTCAAAGAGACAACACATTGTGAACAAGTGTTTCTCCAACAACAGAAGCCAGCCTAGAAACATTTCATTATTGATTCATAAAAGCACCATTTCGATCACAAAGCCCTATACCTTTACGCTCGACATTGTTCTTATTGTTGTCAGCACTGTGTGCACACGATGTGTCAGTCCACAGATTTACATTCAACATGTTTCTTTGCTCACTCATTCGAGGCAGTGAACATGGCTCTATAACATAGAGAAACATGTGGACTGAGTAGCACAAGAAAACAGAGGGAAAAGATAGCATCAGTGAATGATAGTAGATGGTAGTCAGCTGATAGGGTGAAATGACAGTAGATGGTAGTCACCTGTATGTAGTGTATAGATGGTGTGAACATGACAGTAAATGGTAGTCAGCTGATAGTGTGAACATGACAGTAGAGGGTAGTCAGCTGATGGTGTGAACATGACAGTAGATGGTAGTCAGCTGATGGTATGAACATGACAGTAGATGGTAGTCAGCTGATGGTGTGAACATGACAGTAGATGGTAGTCAGCTGATGGTGTGAACATGACAGTAGATGGTAGTCAGCTGATGGTGTGAACATGACAGTAGATGGTAATCAGCTGATGGTGTGAACATGACAGTAGATGGTAGTCAGCTGTATGTAGTGTATAGATGGTGTGAACATGAAAGTAGATAGTAGTCAGCTGATGGTGTGAACATGACAGTAGATGGTAGTCAGCTGATGGTGTGAACATGACAGTAGATGGTAGTCAGCTGGAAGTGTGAACATGACAGTAGATGGTAGTCAGCTGATGGTGTGAACATGACAGTAGATGGTAGTCAGCTGATGGTGTGAACATGACATTAGATGGTACTCAGCTGATGGTGTGAACATGACAGTAGATGGTACTCAGCTGATGGTATGAACATGACAGTAGATGGTAGTCAGCTGATGGTGTGAACATGACAGTAGATGGTAGTCAGCTGATGGTGTGAACATGACAGTAGATGGTAGTCAGCTGTATGTAGTGTATAGATGGTGTGAACATGACAGTAGATGGTAGTCAGCTGATGGTGTGAACATGACAGTAGATGGTAGTCAGCTGATGGTGTGAACATGACAGTAGATGGTAGTCAGCTGATGGTGTGGACATGAAGTCAGCTGTATGTGGTGTATAGTCATGACAGTTTCCATGACATGTACTGGGATGTGGTGTATAGTCATGACAGTGTCCATCACATGTACTGGTATGTATAGTTTAACAGTGCCCATCACATGTACTGGGATGTAGTGTATAATTATGACAGTGCCCATCACATGTACTGGTATGTATAGTTTAACAGTGCCCATCACATGTACTGGGGTGTAGTGTATAGTTATGACAGTGCCCATCACATGTACTGGTATGTGGTCTATAGTCATGACAGTGCCCATCACATGAAGTGGGATGTGGTGTATAGTCATGACAGTGCCCATCACATGTACTGGGATGTGGTGTATAGTCATGACAGTGCCCATCACATGTACTGGGATGTGGTGTATAGTCATGACAGTGCCCATCACATGTAGTGGGATGTGGTGTATAGTCATGACAGTGCCCATCACATGTACTGGTATGTGGTGTATAGTCATGACAGTGCCCATCACATGTACTGGGGTGTGGTGTATAGTCATGACAGTGCCCATCACATGTACTGGTATGTGGTATATAGTCATGACAATGCCCATCACATGTACTGGGATGTGGTGTATAGTCATGACAGTGCCCATCACATGTACTGGTATGTGGTGTATAGTCATGACAGTGCCCATCACATGTACTGGTATGTGGCGTATAGTCATGACAGTGCCCATCACATGTACTGGGATGTGGTGTATAGTCATGACAGTGCCCATCACATGTACAGGTATGTGGTGTATAGTCATGACAGTGCCCAACACATGTACTGGGATGTGGTGTATAGTCATGACAGTGCCCAACACATGTACTGGGGTGTGGTGTATAGTCATGACAGTGCCCAACACATGTACTGGGATGTGGTGTATAGTCATGACAGTGCCCATCACATGTACTGGGATGTGGTGTATAGTCATGACAGTGCCCATCACATGTACTGGTATGTGGTGTATAGTCATGACAGTGCCCATCACATGTAGTGGGATGTGGTGTATAGTCATGACAATGCCCATCACATGTACTGGGATGTGGTGTATAGTCATGACAGTGCCCATCACATGTACTGGGGTGTGGTGTATAGTCATGACAGTGCCCAACACATGTACTGGTATGTGGTGTATAGTCATGACAGTGCCCAACACATGTACTGGGGTGTGGTGTATAGTCATGACAGTGCCCATCACATATACAGGTATGTGGTGTATAGTCATGACAGTGCCCAACACATGTACTGGTATGTGGTGTATAGTCATGACAGTGCCCATCACATGTAGTGGGATGTGGTGTATAGTCATGACAGTGCCCATCACATGTACTGGTATGTGGTGTATAGTCATGACAGTGCCCATCACATGTACAGGTATGTGGTGTATAGTCATGACAATGCCCATCACATGTACTGGTATGTGGTGTATAGTCATGACAGTGCCCATCACATGTAGTGGGATGTGGTGTATAGTTATGGACTTGATGGTACCTGGTGTGGGGGTTGCCCTTGGATGCAGCCTCTGGTACACAGACTCATGGCCGTCACTGTTGAAGCCATATCTAGGTCAACAGAGATAAAACATTAGTTACAATAATCAGGCAACACAAGAAGGATTACCATGAAATCTGTCCAACAGCATGGGTAGACCTATAGTTTTTTTAATCCTGTTTATGTAGGTATGTTTTGTTCATGTATAAAGGAATGCATCATGATGTCAAACTCAATACATCTTCATGATCATGACTGAGGTGGGCTTTATGACAAAAAAAGCGAAACAAGTGCCTTGAAATGCTCCTCATGATTTTTCTGGAATCTATAAAACATTACCATGGCTATTAAACTAACATAGATTTCTACACACCAGTCATAACAGTCACTATAACAGCATGTACATTAACTTTAGACATTGCTACATTGATAATTCTGTGAGCATTTAAGAAAATTTCCTTCATTAGTACGTACAGTCTTCAACAACACAATAGCTTTAATGTTGCTGCTTGAATGACATGCTCTTTGTGGTTGGCAATGCTATTAGGGTCTACTGAATGACATGCTCTTTGTGGTAGGCAATGCTATTAGGGTCTACTAAATGACATGCTCTTTGTGGTCAGCAATGTTATTAGGGTCTACTGATTGACAAGCTCTTTGTGGTTGGCAATGCTATTAGGGTCTACTGAATGACAAGCTCTTTGTGGTAGGCAATGCTATTAGGGTCTACTGAATGACATGCTCTTTGTGGTAGGCAATGCTATTAGGGTCTACTGATTGACAAGCTCTTTGTGGTTGGCAATGCTATTAGGGTCTACTGAATGACAAGCTCTTTGTGGTAGGCAATGCTATTAGGGTCTACTAAATGACATGCTCTTTGTGGTCAGCAATGTTATTAGGGTCTACTGATTGACAAGCTCTTTGTGGTTGGCAATGCTATTAGGGTCTACTGAATGACAAGCTCTTTGTGGTAGGCAATGCTATTAGGGTCTACTGAATGACATGCTCTTTGTGGTAGGCAATGCTATTAGGGTCTACTGATTGACAAGCTCTTTGTGGTTGGCAATGCTATTAGGGTCTACTGAATGACAAGCTCTTTGTGGTAGGCAATGCTATTAGGGTCTACTGAATGACATGCTCTTTGTGGTAGGCAATGCTATTAGGGTCTACTAAATGACATACTCTTTGTGGTTGGCAATGCTATTAGGGTCTACTGAAAGACAAGCTCTTTGTGGTAGGCAATGCTATTAGGGTCTACTGAATGACATGCTCTTTGTGGTAGGCAATGCTATTAGGGTCTACTAAATGACATGCTCTTTGTGGTTGGCAATGCTAATAGGGTCTACTGATTGACAAGCTCTTTGTGGTTGGCAATGCTATTAGGGTCTACTGAATGACATGCTGTAGTCATGAAAAGTACCCTGGAAACATGGTCATACACATATAGCGAGCGAGCGAGCGAGCGAGCGAGCGAGCGAGCGAGTGAGTGAGTGAGTGAGTGAGTGAGTGAGTGAGTGAGTGAGTGAGTGAGTATGTGAGTATGGTTTTATGCCGCATTTAGCAATATTCCAGCAATTTCATGGCAGGGGACACCAGAAATGGACTACACACATTGTACCCATGTCGGGAATAGAACCTGGGTCTTCGGCGCGATGAGCGAACGATTTAACCATTAGGCTACCCGACTGCCTGATACCCATATATATGCCTGAAAGAGTTGTGAGCAAAATTTTGTCTAGCTCTTTTGGGGACCAATCATCATTATAATAAAAATGAAGTTTCAAAGGTGTTGCTATCCTATTTGCTAAAAATATAGACTTTGCTCTTGATAATGTTGTAAAAGATAATTATGGTAATAGTTTAATCATCGAAATCACAATCGATAAATATAAGCTAGCTATCATTAACCTTTATGGTCCGAATGTTGACGACCCTACCTTCTACAACGATCTTGAAACAGCGATAAAATCACTAAATAGCGATAATATAATTATCTGTGGAGATTGGAATGTAGTTCAAGATTATTACTTTGACACCTTCAATTATAAACACAATAATAATCCAAAAGGATAGAGATAGAATAATGAAATTAAAAGATGAAATGGACCTAGTTGACCCTTGGCGAGAGAGATACCCGAATGAAAAAAGATACACCTGGCGCCAACCATCTCCATTGAAGCAAGCTAGACTTGATTACTTTCTTGTGTCCCATAATATGATCCCGTCTATTACAGCTACTCAGATAGAGCCAAGCTTTATGTCAGACCATTCTCCAGTATCAATGTCAATTACCCTAACTGAAATAGACAGGGGGGCAGGATTCTGGAAATTTAATAACTCGCTTCTCAGGGACAAAGACTATGTAGCTTTTGTCAAAAAAACAATATCGGAAACAATTTTACAATACAAGAACTATGACTCTACTGACAGTGACTTTACCATAGACGACCAGATGTTTTTTGAAATTCTACTCTTGCAGATAAGGGGCGAGACTATTAAATATTCATCTTATAAAAAGCGCCAACGAGAAAGAGATGAAACTGAACTCATATCTAAGATTAATCAGTTAACTGAGGACATGGATGCGACTAACGACATTGAAGCTAAATCTAAGATACTAAAGGAAATTGATACGATAAATGAAAAATTTGAATATATTAATAAGATCAAAACGCAAGGGCTTATGATAAGGGCAAAAGTAAACGCAGTCGAAAAGGGGGAAAAACCAACCAAATATTTCTTATCGTTAGAGTCTAGAAATTTCATAAATAAATCTTTCTCTTGTCTGCAAAACGAGTATGGAGATGTTTTAACAAATCAACAGGAAATTCAAGAAGAAATTAGAAAATTCTATTCCAAACTCTATCATAAGAAAAACGATGTTAGTAATGTTGATCTTGAAAATTTATTGAAGGATTGTAATGTGCCCAAGATGGATAAAAATTTATCATCATCACTAGAAGGCAAACTTGACTATGAAGAACTACTTGCAGCACTGAAATGTTTGAAAAATGATAAAAGCCCCGGTTCCGATGGTTTTACTGCTGAATTTCTTAAAAAATTTTGGTCAGATATCAACAAATTTCTAATCCGATCTATAAATCAATCATATGATAAAGGTGAATTGTCCATAACTCTAAAAAGGGGACTTATTACTTGCATTCCAAAAGGTAACAAACCAAGAATGTTTTTAAAAAACTGGAGACCTATCTCATTTTTATCAGTTTTTTACAAAATAGCTTCACTTGCTATCTCCAAAAGAATAAAATCTGTGCTCCATATATTAATTAGCGACGACCAAAAAGGCTTTATGTCTGGTAGGTATATTGGCGAGATAATGAGGTTACTTTATGACCTTATGGAAAACACAGAATCACACCAAATTCCTGGACTACTTCTACTAATCGACTTTGAAAAGGCATTTGATACAGTTGACTGGTCCTTCATAGATAAGACACTAGCTTTTTTCAATTTTGGACGATCAATACGTTCATGGTTCATGACATTATATAATGGGATAGAATCCAGTGTACTTGTAAATGGTTATGGTTCGCCTATGTTTGATATACAAAGGGGATGTCGTCAGGGTGATCCACTCTCTCCATACATATTTATTCTCTGTGCAGAGATTCTTGCCATAATGATAAAAAACAACAAAAATATCAAAGGGGTAAAAATAGACAATGTAGAATTTCTAATCAATCAGTTTGCAGACGATACAACATGTATTTTAGACGGTTCCTAACAATGTCTCTTTGCTGTGTTTAATGTATTAAACGTCTTTGCCAGATTTTCAGGTCTAAAAGTTAACATTGAAAAAACGCGCCTCATATGGATTGGATCCAAAATACGCTCAAAAATGAAATTATGCCCCCAACTTAATCTCAATTGGGACCAAAGTGACTTTGACCTTCTAGGAATTACATTTACCCAGGATCTTGATGATATGATAGTAACAAATTATACAGAAAAGATTAGAATATGTGAACGGTTAATGTCTATTTGGTCAGCCCGCAACCTTACTCCCCTTGGCAGAAACACGATTTTAAAATCGTTAATTATTCCTAAGCTACATCACTTATTCAGTTCACTACCAAATCCAAACACTGATGTTGTTAATGCATTTCAAAGAAATTGTTTTAAGTTTATCTGGAAGAATAATCCTGACAAAATTAAGAGAAACCAAATCATTTGTGAAAAAAAGGATGGAGGGTTCAATGTCCCTAACATTAAAGCAACAATCCAGGCTAAAAAAATATCAATGATAAGACGCTTTCTTACTTCGAAATCCAAGTGGAGTTATCTATTTAATCTTAATCTTAATCTTCCCAAGTTACCGGTAGGTGCAGGCAATATATTAGAACATAACTGTAACTACTTAAGAAATAAACTACTACCACTTACCCCTAACAATTACTACAAAGATATTTTGACAGCCTGGTGGGACTTAAACGCTCAACTGGAACACAACGCAAATCATTTACTGGCCGATAATATTTGGTTTAACAGTAATATATGTATTGGGCGTAAGCCTGTCTTTTATAGCACCTGGAATCAAAAGGTGGTACGTTTCATAAATGACCTCCTTGACAAAGATGGAAAATTTCTGTCATTTGACAACTTTTCAAAATCTTTCGAGATAAAAACGAACTTCTTACTATATAACGGCCTTATCGTGGCCATAAAACACTATTTCAAGGCAAGTAATGTTGAACTAGAAGAATTGAACAAGTTGCAAAATCCAATTATACTCCCATGTATCGAAAATGTGCTTAAATTTGTAAATGGATCGAAATGCTTCTACAACTTACTAATTTCAGAAGTCACTACAAAAAATGTACACTGTACGAAATGGGAAAAGAATATTCTAACGGATGACTCAATTGATAACTGGTCCCAATACAATAGAATGCCTTTTCGATGTACGAGAGACACTAAACTGCAATGGCTCCAATACAAAATACTTGATCATATACTTCCGATTAATGTTTTCTTGTGTAAATTAGGTTATGTTGAAAGTCGAAATTGCAGTTTTTGTTCAGTTGATATCGAGACCCCAATCCATCTTTTTTGGTCCTGTAATATGGTTCAGCAAATCTGGCTTCAACTTGAAGTTTGGCTACTTCAAAAGGCTAACATCCAAATCGAAATTACAAAGAAACATGTGATGATTGGCTTTCCAGAAAAGCGCAATAACCCTCTAAATATCATGTTTTGGATAATAAAAGACCTTATATTTAAAAGTAAGTTAAATAAGAGACTCCCGTCATTTCAAGTCTTTCAGAACGAAATAAGAAACTACTACAACCTTACTAAATGTGCAGAGATTATTGAGTGTGACATTGGCCTATTCTATAAAATTTGGTCAACATGTCATCATCTATTTAGATGATTATTTAGCTATGTACTGGAATGTCGCATTTTATCAAATAAATGTAAAATGATTGAAAAAATAAAAATTTATAAAAAAAAATTTAAAAAAGTTTCAAAGGTGAAACACAACCAAACAACAATGACCAACATTCTAATCACTTGGCTTTAGGTAAACTAAAACTAGACAATTGTAGTTGTTGTAGTTTGCTGCTAAAACTGCATTTGTTTCTGGGTGGATCCAGGATGCTGAGGCTGCTCACCTGTTAATGACAGCTTTATCTTTCTTCAACCTGAAGACTCGTGGCTTGGGATTACCCGGCTGAGGTTCAGGTGTGATGCTGCCGACTTCCACAAAGCCAAAGCCAACCTTCATGAGCCCCTCCACTGCCTCGCCATGCTTGTCGAAGCCTGCAGCCAGGCCAACAGGGTTGCTGAATTCCAGGCCCCACACCTGGGTTTTCTGGCAACATGTTAAGAATAGTATGGTGTCTCACATTAGAAGTCCCCAGAGTCATTAGGATGATGAAGATAGTTAAACCTGGACATGCTTTTCACTCTTTGAACTCAAGAGTGAGTGAGTGAGTATGGTTTTACGCCGCTTTTAGCAATATTCCAGCAATATAACTGCGGGGGACACGAGAAATGGGCTTCACACATTGTACCAATGTCGGGAATTGAACCCGGTTCTTCGGCGTGCTGAACGAACGCTTTAACCACTAGGCTACACAACCGCCCCTTTGAACTCAAGAAATCTATGGAGGTATTTGGAAGAAGCAGGTTATATACTTGCCATACTGTACATCAACATTAACATGATTACAAGGAAATGTGTTTTGCTATTAAATGTGTTGAAGGACCAAGTGTAATGACTATCATATTTGAACATGTGCATGTTTATAGCTGGTGCATTGTTGAGAGCAATACAATGTCATGTTACCATGGTTACATCATCAGAACAATAGGCTGACTTCAGCATATCAGTGAAGTTCCCTGAGTACTGATATTTCCCTCATTTCTTCCTGAAAACAGTGACGGGTATTTACAGAAAACCTACTTGAAACTTGATAGTTTGGATTATCAGTCACTCATAAATGAAAATTTGAAAGTAACTTCCAAAAGTCTCTGGATTCACCTACTTTATTTACTCAAGGAATACTCCATAGTGTATTATATATCCTGTAAGTATTAGCTGTAAGCTGGTCTGATTTCTGTATAGCATACCAGATTGGGTGAATCTGCAAGTGTAGGTTTTGGGACCATCTTGTACTTGGCAGCGATGACAGCTAAGTTGTGGGCCCGCTCTGCTCCAAGCCACTGCAGTGCTGGCATAGCCATCTGGCGGTAAAACTTCTCACTGCCATTGTACAGTGATATACCAAAGAAAGTCAAAGTCCCACCAGTACATACAAATACTGCTTGACCTAACTGTTTCTGAAATCATTACACATGTCAGAAGTTAGTCACCAAGGCAAATGTTAGTAGTGATGTATTATAAATGATAAACAAATAGCTCTAATTTATGCACATGCAACAACATAGATCATGACATATCATATACATATGTTACTAATCAATGGTCAATGGTATAAAACACATTTTACCAACTCAGTTCCAAAACAATGTGTACAATGACCAAGCAGGATGATGATGATGATGATGATGATGATGATGATGATGATGATGATAAAAGGCCTGCACTGCCGCTGGCAGCTAGTCAACCTAACTAGGACCACAGTTATCAGAATGGGCAAAGGGAGGTAACTAGGAACTAACCACCATCCCTTAAAAGTGGCAAATTTCTACTAGTCCTTATGATACCTTAACTATTGGGCAGTTTGGTAAGGACAACAGGACTAGCGCCAATTTCTATCGCTGTAAACACGTTGTCAAAATTGATACTTGAAATCATCTGATATGCTGAGCAGTAAAAGTTACTATCGTTATCCGATAAAACTTCCAGCGTTTCAGATTATCGTAAGTCAACAGTCACAGACCAAAAAAATTCGATCTGTACAGTCATGTACATTTTGTTTTAAGGAATTTAATAGTTGCATTGATATTTGTATACTGTAACAGCTGTGCTCCAATGATCGGGGGTGTCATTAAACGAGAAATAATGAAAACGTGGTAATAGGTTCACGGGTTTATTACTATCAGCTAGTTGTAAGCATAGATGACAATAAAAGGATCAAAACCCCAATCTGTGCTGTCAAGGATTGCTGATGAAATACACAAGCAGCTTAGCAAAGCAACTGTATGACAGTAACACATTGAGAGTAGCTAAAACAACACTTTGACAACATACAGAAAGATGCATAGACAGCCAATTATGTCGGCTGCGACCAGTAACACCTAAGTCAGTTACCCAACACTCTAATGAGTGAATAACCTCGGCTAGGTTAAATACCGGGAAATAACACAGAGAGCCTATTTAGCTCAATACAACCAGAGGAAGTCAAAAGTGTCTCGTAATCACTTACTAATGAAACCTGATTTTCAAGTGATCACCCAGAAGCGAACCGATCCATAAAACGGCCCAACAAATCCTGATGGCAAAGACACAAGATCCTGTTCTAGATTGTCTTGATTGCCATCAACAGTTGTAAATACCTCACAGGTTAGTTTTATGTTTTACATTGGTTCACAAGTGTGTACACCTTTACATGCTATAGTTGTATTGTTTGTTTATAAATATAACCAGTAAGTTCAACCTTAGTAATGGTAAATCTAACCTAAGTGTCATAATAATTCAGTCAGGTCTTAGTGAATTTAAAAGTATAGAATTTAATATAAAACTTATCAAATATCTCACCCAATTCATTCAAGTATTTCTATGTTCCCTATAAGTGAATGGTTGCATGTTTGAATGTTTGATTTACTGATTTCATGTATGAGAGGAAGCACAGTGTATCTGTAACTGTAAGAATGAATGTGGTTTTAGCCTAAACTGTTTTCATATGTTCCATGCTTTTGAAATGATAATAGATTTGTAGTTACTGCAGAATTAATGTTGTTTACACAGATGTTAGGTATGTCAAGATCACAGATAATCTTGTATATATTAATTACATGTTAGGACTTTAGATAGAGGTATCATGGCTGGTTAAATTAGAATATTAAGTTTGGGAGTTGTTGTTAGATACTGTCAGGTAATACTAGGGGATCAGGTCAGATTCAGGGAAGCATGGCTGGGTAGGGCTGACAGGTGTGGAGTATAGGGAGGTCAGGGGTAGCTTGTTAATGGGGGTCAGCCAGAATCAGTATATTGTTCATACAAGAAACGGACTGACATTGTGGAAGCTTTTCACTCTGGTTGGCGTAAGTTTTTGCATTTATTGTTTCATGTAGAATATATATTAAGGATAGAATTTGCATATATTAATTGTAATAACGAGAAGCCACTTTAAAAAAACAACAACCCAAATCAACAACAGGTGATTAAAGTACAAACAGTTCCACTCAGTGAAATGTTAATCAGAGTATTGCCGCATTGTTGTATGTATTGTAAGGTATTGACATGTAGTTGCTGATGTTATAGTGTAGTGTCCCGGAACTGGCTGGTTATCCTTATAGTACGTAAGGATGAAAGAAGAACCTCCGAAACTATGTAAGGAGAGAAGGATCTCCGTGGCAGTGAGTAACATAGAATGAACACAGCTGCAACATCCAAGTAGCCATGGTAACAGGGGCACCCTCAACTCTGTGAGGGAACCATGGAATGTGTGTGAAGATCACCAAATCACTACACCGAGGAAGTGTCCTCTTGTGCACTGTAATAGTACAGTGACATCAGGAACTCTTGAAGTTTATGTATAACGCTAATGTCTAGAAGACAGTGGAGTGGAGTTGTGGTTTGTATATATTATGTACATCCATGCTGTTATTAATTCATTGTGTGTATTAATTTTGTTATTATAAGGACATTAGTATTGTTAGAAGTAGACCATTAGTGTTGTTATTGTGTTAGTATTGTTGGAAGTAGACTATTAGTATTGGTATAGAATGAATGTCTTTATTTCCTCCAGATAATCCAAAGATTCTCAAAACATCAAGATTATGTAATTAAATAATTAAATAACACAATAATCAAACATATATATATATATATATATATATACATATCAATTTATCATCCAAAACTGGCTCCCACAGGAGTTATCGCTTGGATTAGATCAAGCGATATCTACACTGTAGATATCGCTGCAATGAAATTACATCACAATGCTTTGCACAATGCTTTGCAGACCATTGTGACGTCACTGGAGACTATGACGTCACAATCAAATGACATCACTAAAGGCTCTGCTACTGAAGCTGTTAGCAGTACTTTTTACACTGAAGACACTGCTAATTACTGTCTACAAATTGAAAAAGTTGGAAGAATGATGTTGAATGATAAATAGAATCTCACCCGAGTGTCTTTTGATATCAAATATATCAACACTCGTTGATAAAAGTGGCAAATATCCTCGGCAAGCCTCGGAATTTATCCACTTTTATCAACTCGTGTTGATATATTTGATATCAAAAGACACTCGGGTGAGATTCTCTATGTCCCGCATATTTACAGGCTATATAAACAGTGAGAAATATTGGTAAGGTTACCACACTTTGTTTAGGATATGTTTAATTTGATATAAATACTTTGAGAATTCAATAATAGTGAAATGCCACAATATTTCATCAATGTTATTGTTGTCTGCACCAAGAAAGAATGCTAACATATCATGGTCTTCCATCATCTCTATTTGAACATACATTTCAACATCAAGATTATCAATTAGAGTGGAAAAGAATACATCTCTCTCTGAAAGTAGACATTCACAGTTTAAGTTGACATGGTGATAATATTCATGAGCAAAAGTATTATATTTTGTATATTCTTTTGATATTTTGCTTCTGGATCCAATCCTTATTAAAAACTGTTTGTCTTCTCTCAATTCTGGATATAACATTACAATGCTGTATAACACATGAGTGTTGTGTGAATTTTAGAATATCGAGATAGGTCAGCTCTACATGATAGTTTATATTTCCATACTTCTTCCATTTAACACAATCTTTCTCCACTTAGTCTTCATGGGGAATTCCCCTGTGCAAACGTAGTGAAATACATGATGAAGTAGCTTATATTTCTTAGCTGTTGAAAGCAACACTTCACATAAACTGTGTACATTATTGTTATGAAAGTAATAGAGTGAAGTTGATGCGCAGATAACAGTTTTACAAATTGAGACACATGAGTTGTTGCGGAGACGCCCCAGCAGTTGTAGTCTACATTTATCTACATAGCCAACCATGCTCCAAAGTCCTAGATTAGCAATAGTGTCATCAGTGGGGGAACGTTTGACAAAACCTTGTACAATCCTTGCAAAGTAACGCTGGGTGCTTTCAGCTAATTCAAGATCTTTACCATGCAGAGGAGGTAGTAATTCACATCCATAAACACTTGTTAAGATCATTCTTTTCCATATCTCAATACTTGCATACTGATGTAAGTCAATACTACTTAGACCAACAGAGAGGAGAGAATCATAATAGTACGCCTTGCTTTTATGCAACTCTCTTCAATATATAATTTGAAAGAAAGATTACTTTGTAGAACAACACATTATCAAACACAGGTATGTCATAATCCCCAAAGTGATAAGTATGCATAGACAATAATTGCTTCTTTTTATGAAACACAACAATTTTACTTTTCGATGCATTATAAGTTAATCGCCATTTGGATGCGTAACTAACAACTGTATCTAAGGCTGTTTGTAGACCTTTAGGGCTGTAACTGATAAGAGTAGTATCATCAGCAAGTAACACGCATGGTAAACTAACATTATAAATACATATTCCTGTATCTAACTGCCGAAGGTCAGTTATGAGGTCATTTATGTACATAAGAAAAAGCCAAGCTGAGATAACTCTACCCTGACCTATACCTTGTCTTACAGCAAATACATCAGATTGTTCGCCCTTATACTGAACACACGCATACATGGAAGTATAACAGTGATGTAACAGAGACCACATTTTGCCTCAATACCAGGATGATAGAGTTTTACGAAGAGACCCAAGTGCCATATTCGATCAAAAGCAATTTCTCGTTATCTGGAAATGCTGTGTAGATACATGATCCCCTGTTAACATAACTTTTTTAAACATTCAATGAGGGCACAGCACCGTGCTCTTTCCTTAAGCCAAACTGCAACATATCGGGAAAATTACAGGCATTTCGGGATGTCCACGTTTCTAATCTTTCTAGGAGAATTTTCTCAAAAAGCTTACTAAGGCAAGATGTTAGCGTAATACCTCTATAATTGACAGGGTTTGATTTATCTTTTTTACCCTTATAAATAGGTATAATTACCCCGTGTCTATAGGCTGCAGGTGTGTACTGAAGTTTAAGAATAGCATTATATAATAGTGCTAACTTCCCTACTAGCAGCTCACCACCAAACATCACATGTTCATTATTAATATTGTCAGGGCCAGGTGATTTGTTCCTCCTCAGCGTCTGTACATATCTAGTGACTTCCTGAACCAATATTTCAGCACATAGTACATTATCAGCACATGTGTTAGATTCATTACTGGAGGCTAATTTCTCAATTTCATAGTCAATACCATCTTTATAGTCTTGATCGAACTGGTCGGAGTCATATTGTTTTGCTAGATCTGCATAGTACCTACCCCAAAGCTGACAAATGTCAGTGGGGGTTGTTACATTACGGTCATCATATGTAAGTTTTTCAATCTTCTGCTTACATAGTTTTCTCACAGATTCATAAAACGTATTCACATCAGTATCACAAGTTTTTTCTAATTCCGAACAAAATTTCTTTGAATAGGCCTGCTTTGACTGTCTGTGACGGCGTCAGAATTCTCGCTTAGCTTGCGTGTATGATGTATAAGAATGGAAATTATCCCCCCTTGGATTATCCTCAGATAACCGCCTTGCAACTCGCATGTTATAATGGTCTTGGTGTAGCCCATCCTGTTTCCAGTAAGGCTTCAGATGAGCCTTGAAACGACCTACTGGTATAGACTGACTACTGGCATCAATCATACATTTACTGATTCCCGTATTAAATGATTCAATATCATCATGTGTATCTATTGATAAACAAGTCTCTGCATTGTTTAGCAGTGTATCAAGACAGACCTTGTATGAAGAGATCGCAATATTGGAAGCTTTGTCCCATTTCACAAAACATGCTTCTTTAACCTTTTGCCTTACATTATCATTTACTTGTACGGTATCTACACATGGGAAGTGATCGGATACATCATAACTAGTGAATAGCACTTCACTTGAGCTAACGTAACTCTGCAAATGGGAAGGAATCAGGATATAATCAATCAGAGGCTTGTTTATGTTATCTTTGCTCCTGAAAGTATATGAGCTAATGGCTTGAATAGTATTCACTATATAACGAGTGCTAACAAAGTGAGACAGAAGTTTGTCGTGTGGTAACATTAGTAGCTTAAATATATCCCAGTTGAGATCACCTAGGATAATTGTGTCACCCTGCACACACAACTCATCATATAAGTCAGATAGTTCGTCTAGAGCCGTGCTATATGTAGAGTGAAGGGCATTAGTGGACGGAAGGCGACATGCAATCACATACATGTCAGCGGCACGTGTGTGCGTTAACTTAACAGCAATACTACTGTCAGAAGATGAATGTAAACATTGCATCCTCCATTTAGAATGAGTGTTCTGTAGAAGAGCTATACCACCGGACCCTCTCGTGGAGGTACATGCATCGTCACATATGTAGGACAGAAGTTTACAACATTTAAGATCTTTGAATCTTTGAATATTGCAAGTTCTTATACAGCAATGCTATCAACATAGTCCGGTAAAGTAGAGTTGATATGTTCGGTGTGATGAGACACACCACGCATATTCCAGGTCAACACACTTAGTGCCATCACAACAGACAACATAGTCAATATGAACATAGCCATTTTGTTAGTAGATGTTCCTTCTGTATTCTTGCTGTTGTTGTTGTAGTTGTCATGGTTGTTGTTGTTGTTTCGGATCAGTTTGACGCTGCCTTGGCACATAGTCTCGACACACAATGTCCTCAGGCCAGAAGTATTTGTCATTCACCATGACTTCATAATCATCTTGTGGCACGTTCACCTGTACAGTATAAGTTTCAGACTTATCAAAGTGAATCCGTTTCTTCATGAGAACAATCCGTCTCGTATGAAGACGGGAGACACCTTCTAGAGTGTTATACGATTTGCTGAGGGATTGTATGTGATAGTAGTATTGTTAGTAGTAGGTATTAGTATTGTTGGTAGTAGAAAATACGTAACAGTAGAATTAGGCTAGGATAAGTTAAGCTAGTTTAATTAGTTCTGTTACTTATTTGGAATTAGTTTACATTTAAGTATTGTTACAGGGGTTTAAACATAACTTAAGTGAGGGACTAACACCTTTAAAAACTTATCTGAAATTGTGGTTACTTCAGTCCGTGACATTTTGGTGTCAGCAGTGGGATGTATAATTCATTTGTCACCATTGATGTAACCCAGACCGACATTCTTTGCCAGAGTAGGAGTTACTTCCTTGATGGTAGATGACTGGAATATCCTTATGACCAAGAGTGGGGTCAACTATCCGGAACCACTTTTGCATCCTTGAGTGTACGAGTAAGAATCCAGGGTGGTAGGGTGTATTTCATTTATTGGTCAGATTAGGGTATTGTTTTGATTTAAATATTTTGGAGTGCCATACCATGTAGGAAAAGTTCCTGCTGTAAGCAATCACCATTCATGTTTGCCCAGAACTAAGCTTGCTATACTTCTACCTTATATTATCATCATAGAGCTAGATATGCATCTTGAAAAGATTATCAAATTTGGTCAGAGGTTAGCAACATTTCTGAAAGAACAACCAGAGCTAGTGAGACAGAGAATGAAAGGCTGGAAAGAGGTAAGAGCAAGGGAGCAGGAAATTAAGAAATTAGAATTGGAGACTTGGTAGACCTGGCTTGATGGCGCTGTAAAGTCGGCACCCTGGTGCCATACACCGGGTAGGAATGACTTTGCATACTGTATACTACATCTATTGAATTTGACATGCATATTACATTGAGACGTGTGTCTATAACATATTTTATTTGATTTGTATGTATGAAGTATGTTGTAGTTTGTATTTCTCGTTTGTATTTCATTTAAGTGATGTAATGGCCTCTTTTATAGCCTCATGTATATTGTACGAACCTGTATTTATTGAATGATATATTGTTTCAGGGTGTGTTGTTCAGGTCAGACACTTGCCGAATAAACATTCTCACTCTGTAACCAGTGTCGTGCACCCTTGTTTGCATCCACACACTAATCTCGTTACATTTACATCATACTTTCTATATCACATGGAAACACGGTCAGGGGCGGTTGTGACTTATTTTAGCGATTTTATTATCATAAAGTTCATTGACCAGAATGTTTATATTTATCCAATCACGAACAGTATTGCATTAATTTGTTATAATGGTTCATCTTTTTGAAACTTTCAGACTTCGGCCTATTGACTTTTGCCATTCACTCATTACATTTCATTTGGTCCAAGTCTTTTAACCTATATACAGATTTTTGTGTCAAAATCTCAGTACATGACAGAAAGAACCATGATTTTGCAGTATACCAATAATATCTCACATCTTTAGTCATAAAGGACTATATGTCTGGTCTAAAAGGTCCACTGTTCACTGTCAAAAAAGACCAGTGAATATCAGATTGGCAAAAACAAAATAAGGTCCTTAGTGTTATGTGGCAGTGTACATGGTGTATGTTGTATCTTTATTTCTGGTTACAGCAAGTGGCAATTTGAGTGAGGCACTCGCATAAGATTGGCCTTGGTAGAGACCTTGATACAGTTTCAAGGCAGTATTTTCTCGAAGGCTGGCTGTACATATATAAGAGCGAGAAGAGGAGGATTTGAGGCCTTTAAAGATTTCTTACTATGACGGTATGACCTGACTTGCATCTACCTACCAACACTTGCCCTGTGCACACAGGGTACCTGTCAGAAATACACCAACCTTTCTGTCCATTTACAAGAACTTGACCATGTGCCTCATTGGGGACATTCAAGTCTGGACATTTACTGGACATTTGAGACTGTACTGACTTGGTAATTAGGGTCTGATATAATTATATTGCTGCCGACACATAAATTTGACCCATTGTATCAGATATCTGACTAACTGTATTGTGTTTTATGATTGTAAACCTTATCCTGCATACTTCAATATGATTTGTGGATTGATCATTGATCTTATGTGATTATTTATTGATTTCACAATTTAGTTCTGTATGTTCAATCTGGGGAATCGATTACCATGTAATATATGTTAGCTTTATGCTATTTTTAAAAAAAAGTTATATAAATTCACACATGATACATATACATTAACATACATGGATTGAGTAATCATGTAACATCCTTGTATGTCTTGTCCCACCACTGCAAACACTGTGTGGATGATCTGTGTATTCATCTGTGACAGTAACTGCATAATTGAGCGACCATTTCTAATTTAGGAATTGGATTCAGTCAACATGGTCAATTATATCAATTACATGCATCCTGCATCAGCAAATCTTACATAATATAGACTCCTGGCACATATGGATGAGACATTTGGTAATCAGACTGGTAGAGGCTTCTTTTTACTTCCACAACATTTCCTTGAGAGTTGAGATCTTTTAATAAGAGACAGCTAGAACTCTAGATTATTACAAAACAAGTAAATGCATCTTTTATCAGCTGTTTAAATACTGCTATTAAAAATACCACTTTCTGAAGACATGAACGATCAACTGCAACTTCAATGATTGAGTATCCATAATGGCAGTTCATCTTGCAAGTTGCTTACGCAACGACTTTTTAGTCGAGGTCACGATGGTTATCTCCCTTGATGTTTGCTCACCAACTTACATGCTATTCATATGTATACAACACTGTCCTAAACTCTAATTCTTACCCAGAAGATGCCTGGTGGTGGTGATAGGCCGTTCATATTAATAGCACAAGCACAGGATCCAACGAGGGTACAATAATTAATATTAGATCAAATTGACAGGTGCCCGTTTTCTAAGACTAACTTTCGTCCGCCATGATAGTTAAAGTCAGCTCAACATTAGTTGCGTATATGCCTTTATGGGGGGAAATAAACATCCTAATATGTGTGAACTTCTATTAACAACCAATTGGACAACTGGACAACACTTAGGAATTATTTGACACGAATCGATGAAAATACAAACATTTCTAATACCTAATGAAAATAGTCCCCCTGTTACGCACTCTCCAAGTAACTGTTGGCTTTGCTGACTTGGCAAGATGACTGCTTTCGAAGGCAAGCACGCGTTTTTTAGCACTATCTTTGGCTTCTGGTAGTTTTTCGTCTCTTATTGAGAGTTTTCTTCAATGACAGTTTAATGTCTATGACGAGGTTAATATAAATGTGCTGCTGTCATTCCTAATTAGGCCGGCTGTCATAATATAGAAGCATCGATGTCCGTCTGACTTGCCAACTAAATAATGTTTGATTTCTTGAACTTTTTATAGTGTTATGAACCTAAAAACTTGAACTATTGAATTTTTTTACCCGGGGTAGAATACGTCTTCAGCAACCCATCTTTGCCGTCAAAGACGACTATCGTATTCGACGTAATAAGCGCCCAGGCCGCTCTCAAAATTAGACATAGGGGGCTCTTATTAGAATAATATTTTGGTGAAAAAAAAACAGAGTTGAAAGATCGTAAATTTCGTGGTTTATGCTGACAGCCTGTAATGATACAAAAGAAAGGTCTGTGTGTATTATTCACGACAGGTATATTTTCAAAATTTTATTGCTCATAATTAAGGGTGCATATAACACACAAGTGGGTATTATACACGAATAGATAAGTCTTGTGTACATTGATCAATTGGAAGGGGTGCTAATTGGGATTGTTCACTAGCCAATGTATCAGCAAATATCGCCATGGGCGCTTATTACGTCGAATACGGTTTATATGCTTGTGGAAAGAGGCGACTATATAACAGGATCAGGTGATCAGGATCGCTGACTTGGTTGATATGCATGTCATCATATTCCAATTGAGTGGATCGATGCTCATGATGTCAATTACTAGGTTGTCTGGTCCAGACTCGATTATTTACAGACTGCCCTCATAAAGCTGGAACATTGCTGAGTGCGGCGTTAAAAAACAAACAAACAAAACGTATGAGTTAAAATTACTATGAGAAGTAAATTTGACCATTTTGAGTGTAGGGGGTGCAGGCACGTCAGCCAAACGTCACTGATTTCATCTTGTGATAAAGGCCACTGGAGGTCAAGCAAAAATAGCACCTTCTTATTATAATGAAGATAAAAAAAGATTTATGTAGGAGGGCTGGGTCCTTATTTTATACCTGGGTACCCAACCCCCTATTACTTGACCCTACTCAGGTACCTGCTGTAGGTCTCAAGAGTTGCGTACAAAATGTCCTGATTGGGAATTGTTTTAATTAGGCCTTGCAAGATGTATTTACAGAGGTGAAAACAATCTGTGGTTAGTTATACACTGAAGTTTACTGAAGCTTTATCTTTATTCAAATATGTAAAAATCAAAAGGAATACATTAATTGTCAGAAAGAATGTGCACATTAGTGACTTGAAGTGTAACCATGGAGTTATAGTGAATTTTTGTCATGTCATGTTACTAATCATGTATACACGAGTTATCCATCCCAGCCCTTTTAGTTTTATGTAGTAGTATTTTTGCTTTATTCTTGGTAACATGGTTCTACTTTTGTCGGCACTAATCTCATTGTCATATATTGATTCTATTTTTGTCGTCTGGCAGGAAATCCTTGGCAATCTGAAAATATATGTTATAACATGAAATACACATCATGGAAAGTACAAGAATTTAAATCTTTAAATATTATCTTCTATTTTTGTTTTGAAATGTTGATGTTGGAAATATTGGGTACTCCTTTATCCATCTGGTTTTCTTCATCATCAGAGCTCCAGATAAGCTGTGCATCTGCGTAAAATACGCATCAGAAATGCAGAAATACACAGTAAAATAAAATCCAAGCGTATCAAATACGCAACGAACATTACAGATAAGCTACAAAAATAAAACTTGTGCGTATCATCAAAATATTGTAAAGTAACCCTGCGTATTCGATTAGCAAAACAGCAACTTATTTTGAAATTATAAACGGGCATTCCATCAACCTTGCCAAACTCCACGATGACAGTTACATCATGATCATTTGCCATCACACTTTCTTGTGGAAGTATCATGGTATTTTTGAGTCCTATAAAGCTCTCGAACCCACATGACACCAGTTTGCAGGGACTAGATGAATAGTATTTTTAAATATTTAACTTAAATACCCACATGTGTAAAAACTAGTGGGTAACAGAAATTTGAATACCCAGATAGAATTACTGATACCCAATGATTTTAAAATGCATGGGTAAAATACCCACAACACCAAAAGCTTATCTGGAGCTCTGAGCATGTTCAGTAGTATCTTCTGACTGAATCAAGCAGCATAGCCATAGAAAGTCCAGTATAACAAACAGGAAATGTCCACTGGTCGCATTCATCACACTATATGGCATGTTGATTTTTCCTGTCTTCTCGCATACAACACATCAAAAAAACATTGTGAAGAATGATCTGACAGAACCCTGTCATGCATCATCTAAAATACATTAAACTGAGTAAAGGTACTTAAAACTTCAAAGTATGCAATCTTTTCACAATACATGTAATTGTATTTGAGCCCCCCAATTAGAGTCAGCGAGTAAATTGGAGTAGAGGCTAATGTAAACATCTTAATATGTGAGTTTATAATAGAGAGAGAGAGAGAGAGAGAGAGAGAGAGAGAGAGAGAGAGAGAGAGAGAGAGAGAGAGAGAGAGAGAGAGAGAGAGAGAGAGAGAGAGAGAGAGAGAGAGAGAGAGAGAGAGAGAGAGAGAGAGAGAGAGAGAGAGAGAGAGAGAGAGAGAGAGAGAGAGAGTGATTCCTGAAAGCACATGTTATATTAAGGTAGCGAGTAAGTAAGTAAAGAGGTTCTTAATCCAAACTTTCAAAATGAACGATTTTGTTTTGGTCAGATCTAGTAGTGTTGTTACATTGATATACCGAATTCGACGTCATAAGCGCCAGGGCGCTCTCACAATTAGAAATAGGGGGCTCTTATTAGAATAGTATTTTGGTGAAAAAAACAGAGTTGAAAGATAGATTTCGCGGTTAATGCTGACAGCCTGATATGTTTACATACGACAGATATATTTTTCCAGAATTTAATTGCCCATAATTAAGGGTGCATATAACACACAAGTGCGTATTATACACAATAAATAAATAAGTCTTATGTACATTGATCAATCGGAAGGGGTGCTAATTGGGATTGTTCACTAGCCAATATATTAACAAATATCGCCATGGGCGCTTATTAGAGCAGGGCGCTTATTACGTCGAATACGGTAAGTAATTTCTTACTTATCCTGCTTCACTCCTTAATGCATCAACTGTTTACCTTACTGCAATGAAAGTCGGCGCTTTGCGATGGTCCTGAGTGAAGAAATAGAATGTTGACATCTTCATCTAGTCATTCTAATAGGAAGTTGTGCTTCGTTCTGCTCCAACTTTTAGCTTTATTTTGTGGTTAGCGTTCTGCTACCACATAAAATTTCATCCGCAATGGGTGATGTATTTCTTTTCATATTATGTTCATCTTAATGTATATTTAGCACAGCATATGCCGCAGTTTTTCATGTGAAAAGACTTTGTCTTTTTCCTACCATGTGGCTTGTTGTTTCCGCTAATTTGAATTTGCGTTACATTGTTTGTCTCCTTTCGAGACAGTCATTATTTATGTTTAAATACCTTTAGCCTTTTGGCGTTATCTAGAGTTTCACGTTTGTATTTTTTATACACTTTAAACCTCGTAAATCTTGGCTGATTAAAAACTTTGATTTTATCATCATTTTATCATCATGTAGAAGTCTACTTCAACTACCATTTCAAGTTTTGTGTAACTCATGCTTGCACAGTCACTATTTGGCGTGGCCAAAAAATATTCTTAAGATCCTCATCCATGTTGTTTGGACTACGCCAGATATGCACTCCAAATTTTAAATATTATTTTTGATCACCTTGCTCTTCGTCAAGTTTCTCAATTAATAGAGAGGACACCCACAAATGTATTTGTACAGCAGTCCTGTCATGTTGCCAGGAAGATGTTGGAATTGCAGGATGTTTCCAGCCACCCTTCCCTGGGGATCACCACTCATCCTTCATCAGCGGGTGGAGCATTATCTATGGTTTTCGTGACTGCCGACATTCATTTGCCTCTGAGACTATGGCAATGGACTCTATTGTGAGTATTGCACCTGTCTCTAATTTTCATGTGTCCATGGCCTTCACGATGACGGTCCTAGCGACGCTGGCACAGACGTCTTACGGCACGTCTACCGGGATGGCACCAGCGCATGCCTTGATCCTGTTGACACCTACGGGCGTCTCATCACAAGGACTTGTGCCGAGCGCAGCGTCTACTACGCCCTCTCAGGCACATCGACTATGACTACATCTTCAGTGCTTCCAGGCACGTCTGCAATGTTTTCGATGCTGGATCAGCTTGATGCTGTACCGCCTGTCTACCCTGTCTACCCTGTTGCACATCTCAGCCTTCGTCGCTTTACGTAGATACATCACAGATAGACACGGCGCTTGCACCTGTGTTCTATCCCAAGCGCTTGTGCTTATGTCAACGCCTGCCACACACCAGATGCCAGCGACTCTATCTAAGCGACTCAGGCTGTGCTGGGTTTTTTAAAGCAAAGAATCAGCTACCTGGATAACCCAACTGTTCCTTGACCATCCCACCAATCTTTACGATTGTGGGGGTCGAAGATGAGGATAAACTCCTCTTATGCCCTGTATGCGCACTACAAGCCGCTCCAAGACTAGAGGTGGCATGAGGTAACGCTGGTTCATCCCCGTATCTCAGACATCCATGTTCAAAGTCCGACTCAACACCATATCACCACGGTTTATATGCAGTCATCCTGCAGTCATTCCGCAGGCATACGAAATTGCTAACATTGATTCTCAGATAGCGAATATTCCACATTAGATCAGAGAGGTCGCCTCAACCAAGGCTCTACACAGCAACTGTTTTATCAGAGTAATCATGGAAGGATGTTTTTAGAGGTCAGACGTTGTCTTTGCTAGCCATTATCTAAGAGATGTGGCACTTGCAGATGTTAAAGGTGTATGTATCTTTGGCCCTCTGGCAGAAGCCCAGCAGCCTAGCAACCCCCAACGCAATAATGAACTCCTCCGGTCCAGTCTTACCAGACACACGTTGTGTTTTGACACGCCCGTTAGGGGGATTATCAGGCTCTTAGCCTTGGTTCAGTAACTCAGTTTTTAGAGTTTAGCTTACGCTATTTTCTTCTTACTGTGTGATTACCTGGACTTATACTCATTTCTCTCTGAGGGATAAGGTTGAACAAGTATAACCCGCTTGGCACTTGTTACGCCTTACGGTTCCCTTGACACGCGTGTCGTTTAAAGGGTTTATATGTATTGAGGTCCCGTCTCGAGCAGTGTTTATTTGACACGCCCGTTAGGGGGATTTTCAATTTTTTTTAGCTGGGTAACACAGTTTGTTAAGACTTTAGCTTACCCTAATTTCTTTTTTACTGTTTGATTACCTGGACTTAACTTCATTTCTCGTTTCGCTCTGATTGAACGAGTATAACCGTTCGGAGCTTGATACGCCATATGGTTCCCTTGACACACAAATAATAAACTCTTCCTACACAGAGCCAGTCTTACCCACCTCGTGCAGTGTTTATTTGACACGCCCGTTAGGGGGATTTTCAAGCTTTTCAGCTTTGGCTTGGTAACACAGTTTGTAAAGACTTTAGCTTACACTAATATTCTTTTTTACTGTTTGTTTACATGAACCTATCCTCAATTCTCATTTACTTTCTGTAAATAAGATTGAACTGGCCCAACCATCTAGCTCTTCGTTTTTGAAATACTGTTTCCTTGACAACATATCGTTTGAAGGGATTTAATATATTGAGGTTTAACATCAAAAGGTAAACCCACAGCCATACCGTCTGATACAGAAGCATTCAGGAGTAATGCAGGATAAGTAAAACATTTTGTAAAATCTAAATATTTTTGACATTTGTATACTATATCCTGCATTACCATGTCTAAGGGCCCATCCGTCTTAAACTTGCCTCCCCACTATAGCTTCAGAAAATTTTGATAACTCGGGTGACGAGCAGGAATGTCGTTTGATGTGACGCTGCAAAAAGTAGACTGAAGATGGAAACAACCTTTTTCTTCACCCAGGACCATCGCGAAGCACTGGCTTTCATTGTCGGAAGGTAAGCAGTAGGTGTATTAAGGAGTAATTCTGGATAAGTATACAAACAATAAGTATATATTTTTTTCAGATTTTACTAACTTCTTACAGTTACATGGTTATGAAACTACTGTATATATTATTTTTATTGTTGTTTAATTTTTTCACAGTTCAGTTGTTGATTCACAATCTTTCCAAATAGTTTTGCCTATAAATACAATAAAGAAATTCACTGCTGAATGTTGAAAAATGTCTTTTTTCAGAGATGGGAGTGATGCCGGAAATCGGCAAGGCTGTTGAAGAGATGGATTGGAGGTGATCTTTACATTGTTATAACAGTGAAATGCCAATCTCATAAAATCAGATCTTAGTTCTCACGACAGCTAAACACCCCATTACAGGTCACGTCAGACCACCCTTGCGCGAACTTTGACCGACCAATGGAATGACTGACAAGAAGTCAACATTAGCCAATCAGAAGGCAGCTTTCTCGTGCTTTACCTCACTCATTTTAAATTGGTGACTACACTTTGAAACATATTTTGACGAATATTGATTAAAAATTTGAAATGGCTAATAGATGGTCTAGATTGTATAGATTCAGTCGTTTAGCCCGTAACTATCTTTCGGAATACCACGAGTTAAAGTTTTCGAGGTTGCATCATCAGAAATCATATTCCGACTGTCACTTTCATGATCTTGTAAATGACGCTGTGATTGGTCAGATGAAAGGTCGTTCTGACGTTCTGATGTCCCTAATGGGATGTCCTCAGATCTTTGTTTAACGGTAGTGAGAACTAATGCTGACAAAGTATGATTCCCAGTGATATCGTTTGGACAAATATTTATGTCCCTTTGACAGTTTACTGATGGAACACCAAAATCATTAAATATTTCTTGTTGAAACTTGCTTCATATAGATCAATCTATTGGGGACCAGGTGCTTTTTGATGATTTGGGATTTATATTTTTTATTTTTTTATTTGTTTTCATGACGACAAGTTGGACTTGTACTGAACATGAGGGTGATGCTCATTTCCGGAGCAGAACTCCAAAACTGTAGAATATTTCTGGATGAAAGTTACTGTACAGATCAGTCTGGTGGTGAGCTGGTGCCTTTTGATGATTTGGGATTTTGAAAAATAATTTTTGTCTTCACTGAACTGAAGGTATCCAATGGCAATGGACCACAAGTGGGGTATAAGTAGCCAAACTCCATTTCCGAATTGCACCAGACTGGGGGGATATGTCATCTCCCGATGGCTCTTGTTTACATGGTTTTAGAGATCAATGGAAATGTTTTCTATGATTCTTTGTACAGCCTTCCAACAGATGTTCAGTCAGAAGCTATTCCCATGATCTTGGGAGGAGGAGATGTGTTGATGGTATGTACACCCATTCTACAAATTTAGATGTATTCAACTTGGGTTGTTTATATAACCTCTGTGTTTGACTTTTGTACTCCGTATTCATCATCAGTATGATCACACCACTTGAAATTTATGAAACTGATTACCAACGTTCTCATATTTTCTGTGGATGTTTTACAAACGTTAATTTTGTCTCATTACAGATTAAGATGTGTTCAACTTGGGTTACTTTATATAAGCTCTTTTCTGCAACTGAATGGTGACATGTATGCACTTGGTTTAATGCAGTCTTGTTGACTGGTTGAATTTGCTTACCAGTCTTATCATGCTTATGTCAAACATTTATTAGTGTTTCACTAAGCAGGTTGAATCAAACAATAAAGTTTAGTGAAGTTAGGTTTAATGTCACATTCAAGATTATTGCACTTATATAGCAAGGTGCATGCATGTGTGTGTGGCTGCTTGTACTTGTCCGAATGGTTTTATAGTTCTTCCCCACTGAGATACCATTCCACCAAACTACCACACTCTGATCAGATGCTCTGTACACAAGATCACGATGGAATGATTGGAATTGTATACAGTTTCCAGACAAGTATGTTATGATCTGACATTTTGACATCAGTTGCTAAATGTCCTGTGCTTCTCTCTTTTTGCTGGGATTTGTAGGCTGCAGAGACTGGCAGTGGTAAAACTGGGGTAAGTGTATCACAACATGCAGCACTTGGCATATAGATACTGGTGTCCTCCTTATCTTGAACATGTTGAATCTTCTAGTAATTTTAATATTAAGAATATAATGCTAGACAACACAAGGGATTCTGACTGGTTCCCTGTCAGTATTTAAACTACCGGAGTATGCTATAGGAAGACTTCAGAAAGGAAATGTGTTTGACTTTTGTACTCCGTATTCATCATCAGTATGATAACACCACTTGAAATTTATGAAACTGATTACCAACGTTCTCATTGTTTCTGTGGATGTTTTACAAACATTAATTTTGTCTCATTAAATCAACTGTAAAGAGATTAGCCTTGGTACTTCATTACTACTTGTTACTGATAATAGTATTATCCCACTGAAGTGGTAGGGGTGGGGTTAGTCAGCTTGTTACACATACCAGTATCTCTTCCACTGCATGGCAGTCACCGGGTTGCCTCGTGGCCGTTGTGCTGGTAGTTCATGACAATGTTATTACCCCCTGTTCCCATCTGTGTCCAGGCGTTCTGCATCCCCATCCTACAGATTGTGCATGAGACACTGGTCACCCAGAGGGAGGGCAAGGCGACCAAGGCCCCCAAGGGCAAGTCAGGTACACAGTTGTGGTATAAGTTATAGTGTTTACTCTATCCTCATATACAGGACTCGGACCTGTAAACTATCCAGGGGCTTCTAGTCCTTGTAAGCATGCTGTGACTTTCTTCAGTATACATTCTTTCTTTTAGCCTTTGCGTCACTTACATTGAAGAAATGACACAGGGATTTCCATTCTAACTATATACATTAGTCAGAATATTTGCTGAGTGTGTTTCCATATTGTTATAGCCAGAAATATGTGCATATGTAGCCGAACAATGACATAGGCTAGGGTGTGAGTTCTGTTTATTTATGTTCCTGTTGATGATAAACTGACACCCTGGAACAGTGAATACAATAATAAACAAACAATTATCCAGAACATTTAGGAGAACTATGACGTCACAATACCAGGTTTCTAAGTGCGGTGACAAGCGTTGCCTTACTTGCAGCAATATAATTGAAGGCTGTTCAGTCCAAATTACAAAGGACACTAAATTTACTGTAAAACAAAATATGTCTTGTGATACTAGAAATGTTATGTACTTGATTGTTTGCAGTGGATGCAATGAAAAGTATATCGGAAAGACAGAACTGAAATTAAATAGAAGAATGAATCTTCACCGTTCACAAATAAAGCAGCCACACAAACGAACTATTCCACTCAGTGAACATTTAGATACATGTGGAAGCGGCAACGTTTTAGTTTTCCTGCTATACAAGCTAAATTTTGATCATGAACCTACATTGTTTCCAAAAGAGCAATATTTCATCATAAATATGCGCCTAAGTTAAATATTAAGGCGTAAGTTATTTGTCCATTGTCACCTTGGTATTGTGGCGTCATAGTTCTCCTAAATGTTATGACGTCACGTAACTATATGTTAGTACTTCATGTCCGTTATTCACTTACGGCCTGATGAGACTCGTACGTGGTACGAGTTGAAAGTGCTAGCCAATTAAAACTGTGTTCAATCTTACTCCACTTATTTAATTATAACTATATTGTGCCTGAGAGTTAGAACTTTACCGTACATGTATATATACCCGGTGAATCCCACTGGGGTGTATTTGGATGGTCACAATGAGTAATTCCCTCATGATAACCTGTTCATGATATAAAATACATCATGAAGACATGTTTATTTACACATATAAACATTATATCTAAACTATTATCAATTTATTAATACACAATACAAGTTACTGAATATACAAATGTCCTAGATTAACAGACACACATATAGTGAAATGAAATATATCTAGTATATATACACTCACCATGCACACACTAATACTAGTAAATGTGACATGTTTAAAAATAATTAAAGAAATATATAGACATTTATTAAACTAAAGTGGTTTGCATAATTATACTGGCATAAAATACAATTATAAGTATAACTTCTTACCTTTATATAAGTATATCCTCCCTCTCTCTTAGTCCAGTGCACAGTGAAGTGTAAATGCAAAGTGCAGGGTGAAATCAAAGGGTTTTAAAAGTGGAACACAGAGATTTGAACGAGAAGACAATCAAGAGGATGCCTGGGCTTACACTCTGATTGACCACCAAGAAGTTGACTGACCCACGAAGTAAAACATGACAAAAGAGTAGGGCTTTAATGCTGATTCTTGACTTACAACTACCTATATGTGCATCCTGAAATTAGAAATACAATAAATAATTGTTAATTACTGCAATATCAAAATACATGTATACAAAATAACATTATTGACAACATACTAAAGTAAATTAAAAGCTTAATATAAAACATGATCAATGTATACAGAACTACTGTCTACTTCAATATCATAATGTAACCCGGTTACGGGGTGAGAATGTGTATTATGTCACAGTGGTTTAAACAACCTGCAACATGCATCTCAACATATTCGGAACATTAGTCAATAGTTTATTGACCAGGCCAGTTGGTTTATCGCATCGATAACCAAAACCTTATGGTAGAGATGAAGTATTGTCATCGATCGCTGTACTTTCATTGGTGTAGTTGTACCTTGGCACTTGTACTTGGCTTGACACCATGTGAACGTACTATGCATACATTGTCGGACTTCAGGGTGTCCCACTTTGGGATGTTTCAAGAGTATGATGACTGTCAAAAAGCAGACAAGGCTGTACAATTATTTTTAGGACAAAGAGTACTCTGTTTGATAAGGAAGCCAAATGTTTGAACAGAGCTGACTGGCTGGGTATTTCCTTTGTCTGCTGCAGAGCTCCAGATAAGCTGCGCATCTGCGTAAAATACGCATCAGAAATGCAGAAATACGCAGTAAAATAAAAACCAAGCATATCAAATACGCAACGAACATTACAGATACGCTACAAAAATAAAACTTGTGAGTATCATCAAAAGATTGTGAAGTAACCCTGCGTATTCGATTAGCAAATCAGCAACTTATTTTGAAATTATAAACGGGCATTCCGTCAACCTTGCCAAATTCCACGATGACAGTTACATCATGATCATTTGCCATCACACTTTCTTGTGGAAGTATCATGGTATTTTTGAGTCCTATAAAGCTCTCGAACCCACACGACACCAGTTTGCAGGGACTAGATGAATAGTGTTTTTAAATATTTAACTTAAATACCCACATGTGTAAAAACAAGTGGGTAACAGAAATTTGAATACCCAGATAGAATTACTGATACCCAATGATTTTAAAATGCATGGGTAAAATACCCACAACACCAAAAGTTTATCTGGAGCTCTGCTGCTAGAAACAGTAAGCATAGTCAGATACTGTTCAACTGTTGACTGTATTGTACCGGCACATGCTAACCGGCCCTTCTGATGTGTAGCTTGGTCTGGCAGGACATTATCGCACTGACCATGGTGGCACTCAGAAAACAGATGGTGTCTATTTTGTTGGTGGGGAGATCTAGGTGGGAACAGCACTAAAGAGTTCTAAGGCTATAACTTGTTAGAAAATTGATAGGTGACTTTTCCGTTTTCCTCTTCGGACTAAGAAATGTAAAGTGGACATGAAATATGAGGTAGTGTTGTACAGGCTGTGAAGGTGTGTCTCTCCTGCAGGTGGTGGCAGCTCGAAATGGAAGATGAACATGTTTGATCGAGGAGACGCTATGGGTAGGTCCCTGCTCATCTTGCACAACACCTATTCTGATTGTAAGCTTGTCTGCACTAACATACAAATGGAGGAAGCACTAGAGATATGGAGCTTGTTACTGTGTCTCTCTTTTGTCAACCATAGTCACTTGTTACCTTGCCTCAACAAAAGGCCACCAGTCCTTTCATTCCTACATCTCTTCTGAAACCACATCATCTATGACGGTGAAACTGTGCATGGATAATCTCAGCATGATGTCTAAGATGTTCTCAATTTTGCTAACTTTTTGTATGGGGCCTGAATATTCATTATATTTCTGTATTGTTGAATGGTGGTGTTATTCATTGTGTTAAATCTTTTCTACTGATCTACCATGTTAATTTTGTCATAAACATCAAAACAACACTGCTCTTCTGAGTATATTCTAATCTTGGTTTCATCTGCATTAATATCCATTAAATATTTTGTCTGTAATCAACTGTAGCCAGCGCCCAAACTGTAGACACAACACATCAATACCGTTTTTCTGTTTGACCAGTATCAGGTCCGTAGTATCAGATCATTTATTTTGTGTGACCTTACAATCACAATGCAGCCTATACTTCAAACTTTCTGCCCAAAATATACGATTAATTCCACTGTAAATGGATGAAGGAGTCTGATATCTCTGAGTGGCATTTAGATGTAATGTCAGTGAAAATATTACTTAGGGATTACCACTTTGTTTATTCTTGAATGCAACATTTTGGTTCAGATTCCAGTATATTTAAAGGTTCAAGTTTCAGTAATGAAATGTGGCATTCAAAGAATAAAACAAAAGTTGTTAGTCCATCCTGTCTTCACTGAGTCATCTATGTACATGAACCATGCACTGTTTGCTTCCACAGCCATTGACCCTGACGGGGTGCTGTGCCAGGCCAGAGACCCCCAGGGCTGGCATGGGACACGTTCAAACAAGTCCGTTGTGGGGCAAGGTCAGAGTATGATTTCTTTAAAATGTCTTTGAGATTACAGGGATTTATCTAAGATTCCAAACTAAGTGCCCTTGGCAGACAAATTTGGAAACATTATTTTGTTCAAAATTGGGATTTTTTGTAAAAGTTCTTATCTTTCTAAATCAGGTATTTTGACATTCAATGCAATCATGTTAAACTAAGCATGAAAGCCTCTTTTTCTATATTGGTCATGTTATCAGTGTAATATAAGTCGCTTTAAAGAGCCATATCATTAGTTATAACTTTAACAGCATGAATTGGGAAATGCGGGAATTTTTACTGAGATTTGCTGCAGATTTGGGGCCGAATATCGGCGTCCAAGCAGGTGTAGATAAATCCCTGGATTACAATGATAAGAATGTATAAACATTTCTTATGTTTATGTGCAAAAGAGAGTATATATTATTATTAGATCTGTTTTATTTCTGGCAAAAATAGCTCTTGATATAGGGAAAGTGTGTTCTTGGAAGTTGTTTTAATCAACATCATCAGGAAAGACTTGGAAGGGAGAATCAGTTGTTAATACGTGTATGTTGATGACCAGTGTCTTTCATTAGGCCATGGGCCTTGGTCACCTTCCCTCTGTGTGTGTGTTTTCAGGTCAGTACTACTACGAGGCATCTGTGACTGACGAGGGGCTGTGCAGAGTAGGCTGGGCCACAGACCGGGCAACACTCGATCTAGGAACCTGTAAATTTGGCTATGGCTTTGGAGGAACTGGAAAGAAGTCCAATGGAAGGCAGTTTGATAGTTATGGAGAGGTTTGTTAGTCTTCTATCATAACTGTAGGAAGATAACATAGATGCAAGACCTTTGAATTAATGCTCGACTGTCAGGCTGGGCCCTTTCATGTTAGGTCAAGGCATTATTCCCGGGAAATTGTTGGTTCCAGGAAGGATATCCAGTGAATAGTTTGTTCCAGGTATTAGATCCAAGGAATTGTTGGTTCCAGACATAATATCCTGGGAATTGTTGGTTCCAGACAGAATATCCTGGGAATTGTTGGTGCCAGGTATTAGATCCAGAGAATAGTTGGTTCCAGACATAATATCCAGGGAATTGTTGGTTCCTGGCACTAGAGCCAGTGACTAGTTTGTTCCAGGTATTAGATCCAGGGAATGGTTGGTTCCTGACATTATATCTAGGGAATTGTTGGTTCCTGACATTATATCCAGGGAATTGTTGGTTCCAGACATTATATCCAGGGAATTGTTGGTTCCAGACATTATATCCAGGATATTCTTGGTTCCAGATATAATGTCCAGGGAATTGTTGGTTCCTGACATTATATCTAGGGAATTGTTGGTTCAAGACATTATATCCAGGGAATTGTTGGTTCCAGACATTATATCCAGGGAATTGTTGGTTCCAGACATTATATCCAGGGAATTGTTGGTTCCAGACATAATATCCAGGGAATTGTTGGTTCCAGATATAAAATCCAGGGAATTGTTGGTTCCAGATATAATATCCAGGGAATTGTTGGTTCCAGACATAATATCTAGGGAATTGTTGGTTCCAGACATTATATCCAGGGAATTGTTGCGTCCAGACATAATATCCAGGGAATTGTTGCGTCCAGACATTATATCCAGGGAATTGTTGGTTCCAGACATTATATCTAGGGAATTGTTGGTTCCAGACATAATATCTAGGGAATTGTTGCGTCCAGACTTTATATCCAGGCAATAATTTGTTCCCGATATAAGATCAAGGGAATAGTTTGTTCCAGGTATTAGATTCAGGGAATTGTTGGTTCCGGGGATTATATCCAGGGAATTGTTGGTTCCAGGGACTAGATCCAAGGAATAGTTTCTTCAAAAGTACAAGACCCAGGGAATTGTTGGTTCCAGACATAATATCCAGGAATGTGTTGGTTCCAGACATAATATCCAGGAATGTGTTGGTTCCAGACATTATATCCAGGGAATTGTTGGTTCCAGACATTATATCCAGGGAATTGTTGGTTCCAGACATTATATCCAGGAATGTGTTGGTTCCAGACATTATATCCAGGGAATTGTTGGTTCCAGACATTATATCCAGGAATGTGTTGGTTCTAGGAATTATATCCAGGGTATTGTTGATTCAAGGTATTACATCCAGGGAATTGTTGGAGCGAGGATTATGATCAATGGTATTGGTTCCAAAGATTATATCCATTAAGTTTTTGGTTCCAGGTGTTAGATCCAGGTTGGTTCCAGGAGTTACATCCAGAGATCTGTTGGTTCCATACCTTCGATCTAGGGAATAAGTAGTTATAGGCATTACATCGACACAGTGATTCTGTGGCAGTCGTTTGGCTAAATATGTATGTGAAATTATTTTAATTAGGTTACACCTACTACTTTGTGTTTCCTGATTGGCTGATATTAGAATGAGTGTTGCTGGTGTTCATGGTTTGTGCACACTGGTTTGTATGTTAATATCTCCGTTAAGCAAAACATTCAATGCCCAGGGAGTTGTTGATTCCATGAACATGTATTATATCCACTGACTTATTAGTTGAAGACATAACATCCACAATTATTAATTCAAGGCATTATGACGAGGGAGTCATTAGTGGAAGACATAACATCCACAATTATATATTCAAGGCATTATGACGAGGGAGTCATTAGTGGAAGACATAACATCCACAATTATATATTCAAGGCATTATGACGAGGGAGTCATTAGTGGAAGACATAACATCCACAATTATATATTCAAGGCATTATGACGAGGGAGTCATTAGTGGAAGACATAACATCCACAATTATATATTCAAGGCATTATGACGAGGGAGTCATTAGTGGAACACATAACATCCACAATTATATATTCAAGGCATTATGACGAGGGAGTCATTAGTGGAAGACATAACATCCACAATTATATATTCAAGGCATTATGACGAGGGAGTCATTAGTGGAACACATAACATCCACAATTATATATTCAAGGCATTTTGACGAGGGAGTCATTAGTGGAAGACATAACATCCACAATTATATATTCAAGGCATTATGACGAGGGAGTCATTAGTTGAAGACATAACATCCACAATTATATATTCAAGGCATTATGACGAGGGAGTCATTAGTTGAAGACATAACATCCACAATTATATATTCAAGGCATTATGACGAGGGAGTCATTAGTGGAAGACATAACATCCACAATTATATATTCAAGGCATTATGACGAGGGAGTCATTAGTTGAAGACATAACATCCACAATTATATATTCAAGGCATTATGACGAGGGAGTCATTAGTGGAACACATAACATCCACAATTATATATTCAAGGCATTATGACGAGGGAGTCATTAGTGGAAGATATAACATCCACAATTATATATTCAAGGCATTATGACGAGGGAGTCATTAGTTGAAGACATAACATCCACAATTATATATTCAAGGCATTATGACGAGGGAGTCATTAGTTGAAGACATAACATCCACAATTATATATTCAAGGCATTATGACGAGGGAGTCATTAGTTGAAGACATAACATCCACAATTATATATTCAAGGCATTATGACGAGGGAGTCATTAGTTGAAGACATAACATCCACAATTATATATTCAAGGCATTATGACGAGGGAGTCATTAGTGGAAGACATAACATCCACAATTATATATTCAAGGCATTATGACGAGGGAGTCATTAGTTGAAGACATAACATCCACAATTATATATTCAAGGCATTATGACGAGGGAGTCATTAGTGGAAGACATAACATCCACAATTATATATTCAAGGCATTATGACGAGGGAGTCATTAGTGGAAGACATAACATCCACAATTATATATTCAAGGCATGATGACGAGGGAGTCATTAGTGGAAGACATAACATCCACAATTATATATTCAAGGCATTATGACGAGGGAGTCATTAGTGGAAGACATAACATCCACAATTATATATTCAAGGCATTATGACGAGGGAGTCATTAGTGGAAGACATAACATCCACAATTATATATTCAAGGCATGATGACGAGGGAGTCATTAGTGGAAGACAAAACATCCACAATTATATATTCAAGGCATTATGACGAGGGAGTCATTAGTGGAAGACATAACATCCACAATTATATATTCAAGGCATTATGACGAGGGAGTCATTAGTGGAAGACATAACATCCACAATTATATATTCAAGGCATTATGACGAGGGAGTCATTAGTGGAAGACATAACATCCACAATTATATATTCAAGGCATTATGACGAGGGAGTCATTAGTTGAAGACATAACATCCACAATTATATATTCAAGGCATTGTGACGAGGGAGTCATTAGTGGAAGACATAACATCCACAATTATATATTCAAGGCATTATGACGAGGGAGTCATTAGTGGAAGACATAACATCCACAATTATATATTCAAGGCATTATGACGAGGGAGTCATTAGTGGAAGACATAACATCCACAATTATATATTCAAGGCATTATGACGAGGGAGTCATTAGTGGAAGACATAACATCCACAATTATATATTCAAGGCATGATGACGAGGGAGTCATTAGTGGAAGACATAACATCCACAATTATATATTCAAGGCATGATGACGAGGGAGTCATTAGTGGAAGACATAACATCCACAATTATATATTCAAGGCATGATGACGAGGGAGTCATTAGTGGAAGACATAACATCCACAATTATATATTCAAGGCATTATGACGAGGGAGTCATTAGTGGAAGACATAACATCCACAATTATATATTCAAGGCATTATGACGAGGGAGTCATTAGTGGAAGACATAACATCCACAATTATATATTCAAGGCATGATGACGAGGGAGTCATTAGTGGAAGACATAACATCCACAATTATATATTCAAGGCATTATGACGAGGGAGTCATTAGTGGAAGACATAACATCCACAATTATATATTCACGGCATTATGACGAGGGAGTCATTAGTGGAAGACATAACATCCACAATTATATATTCAAGGCATGATGACGAGGGAGTCATTAGTGGAAGACAAAACATCCACAATTATATATTCAAGGCATTATGACGAGGGAGTCATTAGTGGAAGACATAACATCCACAATTATATATTCAAGGCATTATGACGAGGGAGTCATTAGTGGAAGACATAACATCCACAATTATATATTCAAGGCATTATGACGAGGGAGTCATTAGTGGAAGACATAACATCCACAATTATATATTCAAGGCATTATGACGAGGGAGTCATTAGTTGAAGACATAACATCCACAATTATATATTCAAGGCATTGTGACGAGGGAGTCATTAGTGGAAGACATAACATCCACAATTATATATTCAAGGCATTATGACGAGGGAGTCATTAGTGGAAGACATAACATCCACAATTATATATTCAAGGCATTATGACGAGGGAGTCATTAGTGGAAGACATAACATCCACAATTTTATATTCAAGGCATTATGACGAGGGAGTCATTAGTGGAAGACATAACATCCACAATTATATATTCAAGGCATGATGACGAGGGAGTCATTAGTGGAAGACATAACATCCACAATTATATATTCAAGGCATGATGACGAGGGAGTCATTAGTGGAAGACATAACATCCACAATTATATATTCAAGGCATGATGACGAGGGAGTCATTAGTGGAAGACATAACATCCACAATTATATATTCAAGGCATTATGACGAGGGAGTCATTAGTGGAACACATAACATCCACAATTATATATTCAAGGCATGATGACGAGGGAGTCATTAGTGGAAGACATAACATCCACAATGATATATTCAAGGCATGATGACGAGGGAGTCATTAGTGGAAGACATAACATCCACAATTATATATTCAAGGCATGATGACGAGGGAGTCATTAGTGGAAGACATAACATCCACAATGATATATTCAAGGCATGATGACGAGGGAGTCATTAGTGGAAGACATAACATCCACAATTATATATTCAAGGCATGATGACGAGGGAGTCATTAGTGGAAGACATAACATCCACAATTATATATTCAAGGCATGATGACGAGGGAGTCATTAGTGGAAGACATAACATCCACAATTATATATTCAAGGCATGATGACGAGGGAGTCATTAGTGGAAGACATAACATCCACAATTATATATTCAAGGCATGATGACGAGGGAGTCATTAGTGGAAGACATAACATCCACAATTATATATTCAAGGCATTATGACGAGGGAGTCATTAGTGGAACACATAACATCCACAATTATATATTCAAGGCATTATGACGAGGGAGTCATTAGTGGAAGACATAACATCCACAATTATATATTCAAGGCATGATGACGAGGGAGTCATTAGTGGAAGACATAACATCCACAATGATATATTCAAGGCATGATGACGAGGGAGTCATTAGTGGAAGACATAACATCCACAATGATATATTCACGGCATGATGACGAGGGAGTCATTAGTGGAAGGACGAGGGAGTCATTAGTGGAAGGACGAGGGAGTCATTAGTGGAAGACACTATGACCATGTAGCTGTTTGTGGAAGGCATGTCATTGTTGATTAGGAAATTATGACTTATGTGAAAAGTAACATACAGTAGTGTTTGTTATGCTTACAAATATGTTATGTATGTCAGAAATACATTCTTCTTGTAGCCCTTTGGAATGAATGACACCATCGGATGCTTTCTGGATTTGGACAGAGGCGAGATAAGGTGGTCCAAGAATGGTAGGAATTGTTACCCTGATACTCATGGCTGTTTAGCACCACAATGGTAGTCTTTCTTTCCAAAGCTTTAAGTGTTGATTTTAGCTCACCTGACTGAAAGTCATATTAACTTATATCATGGCCTGTTTGACCATCATCTTGTGCATGGTGCTTGTGCCTACCCATGGATCCTTGACTGAGTTGCACATCATAGCACCATTACATTACGATATACACCCTTAACCCATTGGCCCCCAAAACCTCATTTGGAGTCCAGTTCGAGTGACAAAACACTAATTTTTTTTCTTATCCTGCATTACTCCTTAATGCATTCACTGCTTACTTACGACAACTAGAAGGACAGCGCTGCGAAGGTCCTGGGTGAAGAAATAAAGTTGTTGTTCTCAAGTCCCAATCAGTGGCCTTCCGTAGCTGTCCTGTGACCTTGATGACACCTAAGGTCATCTTCACATCACTGCTTGTCGCAGCACAGCTAGGACGTGTCCAAGCGGAGCTCTTCTTTTGGATTAATTTTAGACCTTCAGTTTGTCTACAATCTTAAAAATTGATCTGCGATGGGTGATGTATTCTTTTCATATTACTTTCACCATGTTGTGTAGTTTTATGTGAATAATTAGGCGTGAAAAGACTCTTGTCTTTTTTCCTGCCAAAATATTGTTGTTCGCCGCCATTTTGAATTGTGTTACAATCGTTTGCCTGCCAAGGTAGTCATATTGTTTACAATTCTCAGCTACGTATGTATAACATATTCTTATGTTCTTAAATACTACTAGCTTTGGCGTAACAGTGAGTTGCATATACTCAAATTATTGTATACTTTTTCAACTCTTTAAAAATATGGTTGCCGATAGATTAATATCAAATCTACGGCTTTCTTCCAGTCCCGCTTCATCAACAATTCTTTTATTGCGTACCTATGTTTATGCGATTAAATAGTTTTTTGTTGGTCTTTTTGGTTTACATTGAGTTGCGTATATGAACTATTGTATACTCTTGCAACTCATAGTTTTGCCGATAGATTATTGTTCAATTCTATGGCATTCTTCCAGTACCGCCTCATCAACAATGGCGTAATTGTGTAACTTATGATTGAGCGTGGTACTAATTGTCGTGGGAAAAATCTTACAAAGATTATCATCCACGTTGTTTGGTCTGTACGCAGATGTGCTCCCCAAACCCTAAATGAAAATATGAATACCCTTGGTTTACATTGAGTTGCGCATACAAAAATATTGTATACCTTTGCAACTCATAATTTTGCCGATAGATTAGTGTTCAAATTCTTCGGCACTCTTCCAGTATTGTCCCATCAACAAGGGTTTAATTGCGTACCTTTGAGCATTGTACTAATTGTCGTGGAAAAAAACTTTCAAATATTATCACCCACGGTGGTTGGTTTGCGCGCAGATGTGCTCTCCAATCTCTCAATGTAAATAGCCATGGTTTACATTGAATTGCGTATATAAAAATATTGTATACCCTTGCAATTCGTATTTTTGCCGATAGATTACTGTTCAATTCTACGGCATTCTTCCAGTACCATTTCTTCAATGGTTTAATTGCGTAACTTATGTTTGCGTGGTGTACATATTGTCGTGGAATAATCGCCCAAAGCTCTTTATCCACGGTCCTAGGCATGCACGTAGATGTGCTCGCCAAAATTCAAAATGTAATTTTTGTGTAAATCTCTAATCCAACGAGTTTACTATATAAAAGCAGATTACTCACAATCATATTTTGCAGTTATTCCATCGTGAGACGAGAGGAATGTCACTATCGCAGAATAGCGAATGACATGGTTCGGTCATTACCACCAAACCGTTATTATCGGCAGGTATTATGACGCCTGTGACTGCAGAAGTACACCATCCACCGAAATCAACAATACCGGAGGATTTTGTGAGTATCGTAACTGCTCCTATTTTTTCAGCTGCCGGACACTTCCAGATACATGTATGTTAATCTGTGACGTCAGCGACAGCACCAGCGTATCAAGATGCTATGATGGGGGTAGATTAGACGCAAGCCTTGATCCAGTCAATACTTTTGAGCTTTGTGTCTGATTTATCTGCGCCGAGCGCAGCACTTGACTACAACCCAAGCACTTCTATTACGCAAGCCACACATATTTTCGTTAGTCATAACCTTCGCGTTGGGGCTCTCAAGGATGTCGAAGACGTTCGAAGTTTGGCCCTCTGGTTGTTATCCTGTAGATTGCCAACCCCTGACGCAAATAATGAACTCGCCCTATACAGAGCCAGTCAACTTCCATGTGCAGTCACTCAGTCGCCACCAGTGGAAGAATATTAGACAATCTTGTTTGTCAGCGACGGCTCTATGACGCAGTAAGTAAAGAATTAGCTGAATAGCTATTATTTTCTTTATTACTAAGCGTGTATAGGGAATTTCTCTTTAATTCCTATGTTCAATCTTTTTGATTTTTGAACAACCCTACCGTAATGGCGTTTTTGTCTGAACTTTTCCGCTTCACGGTTTATCGACCAACTGGTGTCGTATTGCAGTGTGAATTATTCAGGTTTCTGTATTCTGAAGGTTTACCCACCTCCAAACCGTCCGATACAGATGCATTAAGGAGTAATGCAGGATAAGTAAAAAATTTAGTAAAATCTAAATATTTTTTACATTTGTATACTTATCCTGCATTACTACGCTTAAGGCCCACCCGTCGTAAGACTTGCCTCCCCACTTTGGCTTCAGAAACCTCAAAAGTATGTTTTTCTAAGAGCTTGGGCGACAGGCAGTGATGTGAAGATGACCTTAGGTGTCATCAAGGTCACAGGACAGCGACGGAAGGCCACTGATTGGGACTTGAGAACAACAACTTTATTTCTTCACCCAGGACCTTCGCAGCGCTGTCCTTCTAGTTGTCGTAAGTAAGCAGTGAATGCATTAAGGAGTAATGCAAGATAAGTATACAAATGTAAAAAATATTTAGATTTTACTAAATATAGCCATCCAATCAAATTACAGAAACTCTGTTATCACATATCATCTCAAATAGAACTGGGAACACCTGGACTTCCCTTCCACAATTTTACTCTTAATATATAGAGGACTCACAGCAAAGCTACAGCAGCCATATTTAAATACCTATTTTTATTCAGAATGTAGTGACATTTAGTATATGTTTACTAAGGAGTGGGACTCCACATAGATGTCCTGATTTATTTTATCTTTTAACTTATTACTCCTTAATGCATTTACTGCTGTGTTTTGACAGAAAGACGAAGCCGTGAGAAGTCCGGCTGCAGAAGTTGTTCTAATTATTGGAGTATTTTTTCCTCTTTCAAATGAGTTGTGAGTTGTAAATTACGATTTTGTTTCATTGTTAGTTGCCTGCTTACAGATTTATGCCTTGTTGCAATAATTGTAACAGCAACAAGTCTGAGATTGATCCGCACCCTCTGTGTTTGGATTGCACGGACTCCTGCTCCGTCTCAGTGTTGCTTCAGATGTCCTCTGTGTTGTTGCGTCCAGTGTATGCAACTTCTGCTCCACAGGTTCCTCCTGCTACTAAGGGTAGCCCCTCTACTTCTCGGGCAGCACACCGCTCCTGGCCTCTTTCGATGCAGTTTCAAGTCGTCTTAGTCCAGACACCACTCAAAGGGCCACTCTCCTAACTTGGTTACCTTTCTTACTCTTCGTAGGGTGCCTTCATCCCTGATTACGATGCCCCTTTTCCAGATATAGACACACATCTCAGTCTTAGTCAAATCCCATATTGGATGGCGGATTGCTTGGCTTTGGTCGCCACATCCACAGGCCCGGATGTGGACAAGAGGGACATGATCTGGTCCCATCCTACATCTATACCTCCTGACCTTCTGTTGAAGGACTTAATACTGGCCCTTGATGAGGATTTTGCTCTTCCTCACTCCAGCGTTCAAGGCTCCTTGCTTCACATGAACAACCGCGAACTAGAAGCTCTCATTCTGGCCATATCACAATGGCAGAATCTTCTCTGGCACACCAAGATAACCATCTCCCATGACCAACATCACAGTGGTTTGGTGTGTCTGCAATCAGGGGACACCATCCTCGGCTTCTCTGCTGTCATGGACGTTCCACTTCTTCTGGCTCATAGATTGATTGGAACTACTATTCCTCATCCAAAACATTCCAGGATGCAGGAACATTCTAGTGGATGTTCTTTCCCATCCAGACAAGGTAACTTCCACAGAGTGGAATCTCCACCCAGAAGCCTTCACTTTGATTTGTCAATGGCTGGGCCACCCTAACACCCCAACATCACAATATCTTCCCTCTTTGATAGTGGGTGCCAAAGACGAGGAGACACTATTCCTATGTCCGCGAGGACTGCGATGTTTCATTCATCCAACTTGTGTCTTAGAACATCTTTTCATCATGGTTTCTCCTAAATCCCTGCTGGAGGTTAGCCGGAACACTCTCTCATTATTGCTCAGGGCGATCATCCTACGGGCTCAGGAGGCAGCTAGTATGGGTCCCCACAAAGCTGACAACCCGCATAAGGATCAGGGCAGTCCATCTACCATGGCTCTCCATAGTAACTGCTCCATCAAGTCCATAATGGAAGGTTGTTTTGGACGCTGAGATACAGTCTTTGCCAGTCACAGCCTGAGGGACTTGACTTTAGAGGATGTCGAAGGCGTTCACAGTTTTGGTCCACTGGTGGTGGCTCAAGAAGTCACCAACTTCCGATGCCATTGACGTCTCCCTGACACCAGAGCTGGCCTTGTTCAACTCTCCAGTAATCCACCCAGGATTAGAGGGCTTACATGCTGTTCGCATTAATTCGCTCAGTAGGTCGGTGTCCGATTTTGATGTTATGTTTCTTTCAGTAATGTGATTGTGTATGATCTCATCCACTTCTGGGGTCACGTGGCAGCTGTGTGAGGGTATTTGCCGCCAGGACCTCTCACAGCTTCATCTTTCTGTCAAAAAACAGCAGTAATTGCATTAAGGAGTAATGCAGGATAAGCATACAAATGTTAAAGATATTTAGATTTTACTAATTTGAACTTTCTGTTTTGATCATGCTCTTAAATTCTCTCAATGCACATTTGGCTATGTATTCTCATTCTCTGAAATTGCCGGACTGAGGAAGTTTCTCGTTATCTGTTTGGTGACATATTTGTTTAAATCTTTAGGATTTTAGTGGAAGTTCTTAGCATTATTTATGCAAAACATATCTAAATATTAATGTTCAAAGCAACCTTTCTGAAGTGAGTGTCTTTGTTGACATATCCAGGTAGTATTTTGTCATTTGTTCATTTGCTTGTCCATACGTCTGATCATTAGCGCCAGTCTTGATCCGTATATCAGGCATATATTAAGTGAGGACCTGTAGCCCTGTAATTTAAATAGAGGCTACATCCCAATGTGAACAATCAAACCAGAACTTAGCAAACAAACGTCGGATAACACGAATAAACATAGTGTAGAAGAAAATATCAAAATGAACAACAAATGTTTTTCTTGCAGGGATTGACTTGGGCAAGGGCTATGACCTTCCTAAACACATACTGCAAGATCAGTTCTATGCTGCAGTAGTCCTGAAGGTGAGTTAAAGTGACTCTATATACAGGATATAAGGGTAGAGTCCAGCTGTCCAGTATATGAGACATGAGGCCAGGTTGTAGACACAGTGACACTATATACAGGATATAAGGGTAGAGCCTAGCTGTCCAGTATATGAGACATGAGGCCAGGTTGTAGACACAGTGACACTATATACAGGATATAAGGGTAGAGTCCAGCTGTCCAGTATATGAGACATGAGGCCAGGTTGTAGACACAGTGACACTATATACAGGCTAAAAGGGTAGAGCCTAGCTGTCCAGTATATGAGACATGAGGCCAGGTTGTAGACACAGTGACACTATATACAGGATATAAGGGTAGAGTCCAGCTGTCCAGTATATGAGATATGAGGCCAGGTTGTAGACACAGTGACACTATATACAGGATATAAGGGTAGAGTCTAGCTGTCCAGTATATGAGACATGAGGCCAGGTTGTAGACACAGTGACTCTATATACAGGATATAAGGGTAGAGCCTAGCTGTCCAGTATATGAGACATGAGGCCAGGTTGTAGACACAGTGACACTATATACAGGATATAAGGGTAGAGTCCAGCTGTCCAGTATATGAGACATGAGGCCAGGTTGTATAGACAGTGACACTTTATACAGTATATAAGGGTAGAGTCCAGCTGTCCAGTATATGAGACATGAGGCCAGGTTGTAGACACAGTGACACTTTATACAGGATATAAGGGTAGAGTCCAGCTGTCCAGTATATGAATGATGAGGCCAGGTTTGTTGTTGTTTTACGCCTCACTTTAGCAATAGTCCAGCTAAATGGCGTCAGTCTCTAAATAATCAAGTCTGGACAAGACAATCCAGTATTTGACGTCACAAGCATTGATTTACACAATTGGAATAGAATGACATGCATCAACCAAGTCACTGAGCCTGACCCCTGGATCCTGTTAAACACCGCTTTAGATAACCATGCTTTGATCATGACCAATTCTAACCCAGTGTACAAAGTGACATTATATACAGGATGTAAGGGAGGAAACTAGTTGTCCAGTGTATGACCGCAGCAGCACCTTCATATGCCCAAAATACGCCCTGTGGAGATTCCAGGGTAGATTAGTTCCTCTTTGCTGGTGGTGAGAGGTGACTTAGTGGAGCGTGTGATCGGGCTGGCTGACTGGGTTGGTTGCGCCATTATACCTAGATGGTTTGGATTCTTGCTTACAATATCAATCACAGGGTTGTCTGGTCCAAACTCAATTATCAACAGACATCCATCCTATAATTGGAATATTGCTGAATTGCTGAGTGTGGTGTGAAGGAACAAACAAACAAACAATAATAGACTGTCATGCGTACAATGAAATGCCACCTTTTTCAGTTGCGGGTTTATTAGTGTGTACATGTACAGCAAGTGATCAACCAACAGTCAGCTGTAACATGTACCTTGCATTAATGTACAACTTGTGTGTGATGTATAGTTGTTCTTTGTTACAGAATGCAGAAATGCAGTTTAACTTTGGAGATATGCCATTCAAGTTCCCTCCACAGGTAACAAGTTGATCATAGTTTGGAGAAATTTTGAAATGTTTCAAAAATACATAATTCCTTAAAATACCTGACCTCTATTAATCATAGCCATAAATCCCCAATTTTAGCTGTCGTCACACCATAAAATCTTTTAGATTTTCAATAAACGTCCTCTTCAGTGGCAACTTATTTATGATAAGTTTTGAGACAAACACTATCCTCAGGCTAATGCAACTGCTCATGTGTCAGGCAGGAAAATGTCACTGCTTTCCTGTGTATGCTGAAGTGAACATTAAAAAATCTTAGATCCTGGTCTTGCACAATTTTTGGTATATTATCACACTGTTATTTCAAGATCACCTATCAAGACAAGATAGAGACATCAAAGGCTAGCAGTACCTACCCTGAGTACTGATGATTGAACATTAACATTAGTGGGTGCTGGTAGTTAGTTGAAATATTGTGGGAGATGAACTCTCCCTTGCCATCACTTACTGGCACCTAATCTGGGTGCGGTATTGACCAAGATCCTCACCCAAGATGTCATAGATGAAGAGAAAGTATTTGCATCCCTAAATCTAGATGTTCTTGTTACACCCAACTCTCAAAAGCTGGTGACTTTCCTGAGTCAAAGTCGTCAAGGAGCCTCCCCTGCCCAGTATTTGGATCTACATTGGCTACAATCTCACAATGTCATGCCAGGAATCCCTCTCATTTTTCCTGCGCCAGAACATCACCTGTACTCAGGCGCTTCAGAAAAATGTTGGGGCTCTCACATAGACCATGTCACGATGTCACAGTCCAGTGACTGACATCATGAGCATCAATCCACGCAATTGAGGTATGATGACATGCATCAACCGAGGGAGTGAGTCTGACCACCCGATCTGTGACTTTTTCCTTTTTTGACACTCACAGAACTTGTTCCATCTACAACAAGCTGTCAATAGAAATTCCACAATAAGTTCTCAACCTTCTACTTACATCAAGTACAACCCGATTATTAGGGTCTACATTCACTGTGACCCATGGTGGCAGCCCAGGGGTATAGTCACCCGGCAGTTGCATCTTCGCCATTTTCTTATAGCTCTGCACGCTAACGTTGAACCCATTCGACAGAGGTGTCACTTCCCGTGCATCTGATGTCGAACCCATTTGACAGGCGAATAGCATAACAACACCCCAAAATAAAACTCGCCGTATCTATTTACCAAGAAGGCTTTGCGTAACATTTAAATTACGTATGATATGCATAAATGCTCAGCTTGCTCAATATCAAAACTTTCAGTCATTCATTTACCTCAAAAAGAAAATATCGCGAGTTAAAAAAGTTTCGGCTAAACTTCTCGGCACACAACTACCAGAAACAGCCATTGTTGACTTTTGGCACTTCACGTTGAGTGGCATGTAGTCCGATATTTTCATTATAATTTCATCATTTTTCCTATTCGATCATAAATTTTTGTTTGCTGACGAAAGGAAAACACTCATGTTCCTTAATGTCTAAAAATTGGCAACTTTCGGTGTAACTAATCGTAAACAAAAACAATCTGAATCGTAACATCATCGATTGGATGGAACTTGTACGATCATGGCAACGGCGGTATACAAACAACTCCACATGCATAGTTATCCCGTTAGACTATTACAATCATTTTGTTACATTTAACTTAATTTTCTAGAATTATTGACACGTATGTATAAATCTTTGTAAAAAAAAAATCATTTTTAAAGAGTTTGCAAATGATTTCGTTTGATACACTTTCGAACACATTGACAAGCCGACAAACGTCAGTGATACATTTGGGCGTGGCCTAACTCGCGATTTGTTGAGTTGAACAAAGTCAACAAACACTGCCAAAAATGACAAATATTGGATGATACGCAAAATCTGAACTTATATACATTTTAAGTAAACCATTCAATAGCAAAATAATGCAGTTTACGAGAAATAATCAAAATACTTGCAATTTTAGCTATCATTTCTGAAACCGGAAGCAAGTACCGCATGTAACACATGGAAGCAAAATATGCAAAAGTTGGTAAGCTATCATAAAGAATTTCTGAAATAGATTCAAATTCAAAAGAAAATACATAATTTAATATTTTTCGTCAACTATTTACTATTTATTGATCTGGAGTGCAGTCTTCACTCCTGTTTGTTTCATATTTCTTCGTGATTGTCGCCATCAAATGTGTTAGTCTAAATCCGAAACTGTAATGGATTTCACGCTCGATGATTTTAATTTAAAAATATTTTCTGAAAACGAACGCAACGGAGAGCGATATAATGTATTGATATGCCATAATAATAACAACACAATATTGTTATTGGTCTAACATTACAAAAAGAACAATTTAAATTATTAAAGATGTTGTTGAAAACTTTCTGAGAACCTCCCGTCCTCTGAACCGATTATAATTTTGGTACAAGACGACTGTATGGAGGTAGTGTTAATAAGTTTGCTGGAAGGATGACATCTGTGCAAAAAATATAAAAGATTTTGTGAACTGACGACAACCAAAATGGGGAACTAATGACTATGATGTAATAGAGTTAGTATTTTTAGAATTATACATAATGATAAATATTGTTTGATTTATTATTTAATGCGAAGTATGTTTTTATTTGTAAGGGAGGAGTCCTGGGACATGGTGTATTGATAGGGTGTATTAGAATGGTATTCCATGTTTCTGCCCATGACTGACTGACACTGACACAGCATGGCCAGGTAGGTATAACTGTCAGGATGGTTGGATGAGATCCTGATGTTATGACAGTCTGTGTAATAGTGTTGATAATTCCCTGATTCCAGGCTGTGTAATAGTGTTGATATTTCCCTGATTCCAGGCTGTGTAATAGTGTTGATATTTCCCTGATTCCAGTCTGTGTAATAGTGTTGATATTTCCCTGATTCTAGACTGTGTAATAGTGTTGATATTTCCCTGATTCTAGACTGTGTAATAGTGTTGATATTTCCCTGATTCCAGTCTGTGTAATAGTCTTGATATTTCCCTGATTCCAGGCTGTGTAATAGTCTTGATAATTCCCTGATTCCAGACTGTGTAATAGTGTTGATATTTCCCTGATTCCAGACTGTGTAATAGTGTTGATATTTCCCTGATTCCAGTCTGTGTAATAGTCTTGATAATTCCCTGATTCCAGGCTGTGTAATAGTCTTGATATTTCTCTGATTCCAGACTGTGTAATAGTGTTGATATTTCCCTGATTCCAGTCTGTGTAATAGTCTTGATATTTCCCTGATTCCAGGCTGTGTAATAGTCTTGATAATTCCCTGATTCCAGTCTGTGTAATAGTCTTGATAATTCCCTGATTCCAGGCTGTGTAATAGTGTTGATATTTCCCTGATTCCAGGCTGTGTAATAGTGTTGATATTTCTCTGATTCCAGTCTGTGTTATAGTCTTGATAATTCCCTGATTCCAGACTGTGTAATAGTGTTGATATTTCTCTGATTTCAGGCTGTGTAATAGTGTTGATATTTCTCTGATTCCAGTCTGTGTTATAGTCTTGATAATTCCCTGATTCCAGACTGTGTAATAGTGTTGATATTTCTCTGATTTCAGGCTGTGTAATAGTGTTGATATTTCTCTGATTTCAGGCTGTGTAATAGTGTTATTTTTTACTTATCCTGCATTGCTCCTTTTGCTGTAGCATAAACTGATTCAAACCCTCACGTGTTTGCAATTTTAGTTAATGTTTTTTGTCTTTGTGTTGTGCCTACGGTTGGTATTTTGTAATTCTATGTTTGATAAACATGTGCATAACGTTATTAGACACTTACTGGCATTTTCTCAAAAGAAAACCTAATGCCAGGTGTCTTCTTGTTCCAAGTAGCCATCTTGACTATTTCACGTGGCCAGCAGTTAATGAACTGGTTTGCGTTCTATATTCTTTTTGATTGGTACCCCACAATTGGCTTATCCTCGCAAGTATTGTTTGTTTTGTTGTATATTGTCTTATGTTTGTCGTAATATTTGTTTCATAAACACACACAGTGGGATAAACAAATTATAGCATACATAAGCGGGTGGGGACGCATTGTGATTTTTACCAGGCTTCATTGCAGATATCATGCCCTCCTGCTCAAAGTGCGGGCGTAATATGTCGGCGTTGGATCCCCACCCCCTGTGCCTTAATTGTACATCTCAATGCCTTCAGGGTCACCGATGTAAAGACTGTTTACTGCTTTCAGTCTACCTCCGTGTGTGTAAAAAACGCAGAACACAGCAAGCTAGGAAACACTGGCGCACAATGTCAGACCTCTCCGAGATTTCGCCTTCAAGATGGGCCAGCTCTTGCTCAGCTCAGCTCAGCTCATGCGCGCCGCTCTGATCGAACTCACTACCACTAAGAGACCGGTGGGAGCGCATGCAGGCGCACCTGACTCCAGCTCTCCACCTACCACACACTCTGTCCTCCTGGGCCTCCTAACCTCAGCGCAGGACTTGACCTTCAGAGGAAGGCTCCAACTGCGCCAAGTTCAGATGTTCCAAGATGATCTCAAGCAGCATATCCGGTGGTGGACGGTGGAATCGAATGTCTTAGGCGGCGTCTCCTTGACAGGGCTTACGGCCTCTCTGTGCCTATTGGTAGGCGCTTCCCTGCAGGGATGGGCGCACACCTGGAGGGAGAGGTCATCTCTGGGCTGTAGTCTGCTGATCAGCGCCTATGGCACATCAACAACCTCGAACTGGAAGCGGTTATCTTGGCCATCACTCACTGGAAGCAGGCCCTGAGACATGCCCGGCTCTCCATCTCAACGGACAACATCACCGTCATATGGCGCTTTCGGAACCAAGGAACGACTCATTCGACTTCGCTCCTCCAACAGACGTTGCGATTGTTTCACCTGGTGGATCATTTGGGGATTCAGTTCCAGGTCCAACACATCCTGGGCTGCCGAAACATCCTAGCAGATGCTCTATCTTGGCCAGACAAAGTGGCTCCTACAGAGTGAAACTTCACCCAGACGCCTTCGCTCTTGTTTGTCGAGACCACGGTCTCCGCAACATAGACCTATTTGCCACCAGCCAGAACTACCAGATCCCGACCTACATACCTCAGGTCCCGGATCCACTGACTTGGGCAGTCAATGCTTTTAGCGTCCCCTGGGAAGGACACTTTTCCGCCAACTGTACTCCTTCCCAAAGTCATGGAACCTTGATCTGACTTTGGTCGCGCCCTGATGGCCAATGAGGGTTTGAAGAGCTTCCTCACCCTCCACACTCACCAGACCTGGCACCAAGTTCTTTCCACCTGTTTCCTAACTTGAAAGAACACCTTCGTGGAAAGTGCTATGACGACAATGATGTCGTCAGAGCTGCTATGAACGGGTTTTTCAGGGTGGTTTCAGAAAACGTCTTCCTGATTGGAATTGAAAAGCTTCACTATCAATATGAGAAGTATATTGTAAAGCAGGGAGATTTTGTTGAAAAATAAAATTAAAAACACTTTCACAGTTGTTGGGTTTGTTTGTAAGGCCTCACAGCAGACAGCCACACCCAGGACCAGTCCCTTTACAGAGAGCACTGAACGCCAAGGGCTACTCGGCCTGAGCGGAGAGGGCCATCACAATGGCACATCGCCCAACCACCAAGAGCCTCCATGATGACAAGTGGCAATCCTTCGAGTTTTTGCAGGGGCAAGCAACAAGACCCCACATCTGCATCGCCTCAATTCCTGGCCTAGTTCATGCTCCATCTGCATCACAAGCGTAAGCTCAAGGGCAGTACCATCATGACCTACTTTGTGTTGCTCAACTCCGTCCTGGCATTTCCGAAAGATCAACGCATGACGAAGACCAAAAGGTGAAGTTCCGTCCCCCAGGTTGGGACTTGAACGTCATTTTCACCTCGCTGAGAGACGCGCCTTTCGAGCCACTCGAAACATCGTCATTCTACAATCTGATGAAAAAGATGGTCTTCCTACTGGTGCTCGCCACAGCAGTCCGTGTCAATAAGCTACACGCTCTGGACGTCACACGGGTCCGCTTTGAGCAGACAGAGTTTCCCATACATGGAGTGGTCGCCCGATGCCGACCACACAGCCGAGGACGGGCTGAGGGAATGGGAGGTTCCCATACATGGAGTGGTCACCCGAAGCCGACCACACAGCCAAGGATTGGCTAGGGAACAAAGTCTGGAAATAAAGATGAAAGTCCACATCTGAAGGTATGCCCTCCTCCGGTTCCGTCCGATAAAGATGCATTAAGGAGTAATGCAGGATAAGTAAAAATCTAATAAAATCCGAGATATTTTTTATATTTGTATACTTATCCTGCATTACTGTGTCTAAAGGCACCCACCCATCGCAGATCTACCTCCGATGCCTTCTGATGTTTCGGACTCCAGAGTAATGTGAGGATCTGTGACATCACTTCCTTTAGTCACGTGGGAGCTGCGTGATAGGGTTGGCCTCTCAGCTAACTGGAACAACTTCTTCAAGCAAAGACCTTCACACAGCTCTTTTCTCTGTCAAGAGCGTCCGCCTGGAGAGCGGAAGGTCCGGGGTTCGATCCCCAGCCGCGTCATACCAAAAGACGTTAAAAGATGGTACTTGTTGTTACCCTTAAGGGGCTAAAACAAGGACTGGACGGCTCGGAGTCAGTATACTGTGTCTGAGTGGGGTATCCATGTTAAACTGCGGCATGGTATCTCAGCGAGCTAGCACTATAAATCGGCATCAGTCCGGACTAGTACAAGCAGCCACACAAACACATACACGTACATGCACGTCCCTATATAAGTGCAATAATCTTAAACGTTAAACCCAATTTCACCTCACCTTTCTCTGTCAAGAACAAGCAGTAATATGCATTAAGGAGTAATTCAGGATAAGTATACAAATATAAAAAAATATCTAGGATTTTACTAGGATATTTCCCTGATTCCAGGCTGTGAAATAGTGTTGATATTTCTCTGATTCCAGGCAGTGTAATATTGTTGATATTTCTCTGATTCCAGGCAGTGTAATATTGTTGATATTTCTCTGATTCCAGGCTGGTTACACTGCCCTATGTAAGGCTGCCTCACAGTGTGTTGTGGAATCAAGGATTCTCGGTGAGTTCTAACTACACTCTTTCTCAGTGTATAGATTATTACAGAAGACACATTGACATCTTGTATTGAAGCTCTTTATGCCAGGAATGCCTTTAGAAGCATTATTGTTACATGCGAGGGCTGGTCAAAAAGTTCTAAGTATGACTAACTTTCAACTATGGGCCATAACAAAGTCAACTAATACATTGTTCAAGTTGTTTATTGCAAGTGTATTTGATCTGTTGAAGCTGTTTGTATATTAGTGACGGCCTGTTGAACGTGATAGGGGTCCAGATGGACACAGAAATGGAAGAGAACGAGTACTGAGCAGTCATCAAAGTACTTACTTGAGAGAAAAGTACTCCCCAAGAAACACATGACTGCATGTCACAAGTGTATGGGGATAAGTGTCCTAGCTATTCCGCTGTTAGTCCTTCGGCACACCTCACACCTCTCGACTTGCAAAGGCTGCTATGTGGCAATGTGGGTTTAAAGAGCTTCCTCACCCTCCACACTCACCAGACCTGGCACCAAGTGCTTTCCACCTGTTTCCTAACTTGAAGGAACACCTTCGTGGAAAGTGCTTCTTCCTGATTGGAATTGAAAAGCTTCACTATCAATATGAGAAGTATATTGTAAAGCAGGGAGATTTTGTTGAAAAATAAAATTAAAAACACTTTCACAGTTGTTGGGTTTGTTTGTAAGGCTTAGAACTTCTTGACCATCCTTATTCTTCCAATCCTTGTTGAAGTGTGCAAAAACAAAGTTTCGAGCTTCTGAGCTTCATTCGCCCAAACACCCCTTGTTCCGAGTCACCGACTGATACACATTCAGACCGGCGAGCATCTGACAAGTTGCACTCTCCAGTCATGTCGCTTCCCTCCCAAACTTGTGTGAGCAACCCTTCTACCAGTACTGTTCCCCCAGTGACTAATCCCTTAACGACTTCATGGGATCACAAATATCAGACACCACTCTGGGTTTCATAGATTGGTTCTCTACTACAGTCCATAACAGCGGCGTTACAGCTATGAGTTGGATGGTAACATCGCACCCTCGCCCCGAAACATTCCTCTACAACATTTGTTATTGATAATAAGGAACTAATGCATCTAGATGTCACCTTCAGAAGGACCCTGCCCTTATTAATCACCATATTATCAACGACAGAGGCGATAGGAATGTCCGTGACCCAGGCTAAGAAGTCCAACATCAGAGGGACCATAAATCTAATCCAAAGCAAATCCCAGGATGTTATGGATCTTATCACACATCAACTGGGATCAATCACCTCGCTATGGTGCAGAGGCCTACGTTACTACTGTCTTTGGGAAGAACAACTCAAGGTTAGACTTCGATAACAGAATCCAGGATGTGGCTCAAGAAGTAACTAAGGAAACTCACCTCCAGGTGTCAGTAGACCTCCTAAGACTTCAGAGGCAACAATTAGAGGACCAACAAGGACAAGATCACAGAGGCAGACTCTGACACTCATAGGAGTCCCTCCAACAATGTCCACTCCACTCCAGAGAGTGTATCCGGCCAGACAACTGACAACACTACAGGACATGATAGTTACGTCGATATCCAAACATGTCCTAGAGTGTTTAGGACCCAGTCCCAGAATCAAGGGGTTTTATCCGCAGATATTTTTGGTCGCAAAGAAAGATGGCAAGAAATTTAGCATGATTTTCAACATGAAGCTGTTCAACACGCAGTTCCTAGAGAAACCAGCTCACTTTCACATGGCGTCCGTCGCGCTCCTTCCCACCATCATTCGACAAGGGGACTACATGGTCAGCCTAGTTCTTCAAGACGCAAACCTGCACGTACCCATCCATAGAAGGCACCGCCATTACCTCCGGTTTATTTTCCAAGGTCATCACTTCAAGTGGAAGGTGCTCCCGTTTGGTATTTCTTCCCCGTGGCTTTTGACCTGCCTTTCAAAAGCCCATCACAAAGTTTCTAGACGTCAGAGGGATCGTCTTCGAGTCATTCATCGATGACTGAATCCAGGCCCACGCTGACTGGAATGTTCTGGTCTTGCCTTTGCACAGAGATTACTTCATTAGCTAGGTTGTCTATGTTGTCTAGTCAACACAGAAAAGTCGGAAACCACACCCTCTCGGCAACTGTAGTTCATCAGAGCTCTTTTCGACATCATGGGAAGATGTTCGTTCTGCCGGACAGGTGGAAGAAGATACAACAACTCGTGCCATTAGCACTCAGACAGTCTACATCTTCGACAATAGCAACAGTTGTTCGGTCTACTGATGTTGGCTCAAGATCTCACCGAGAGAAGTCGACACAACTATTGCCAATTCAGCGTTTTCTCAGACCTTATCTTCAGATAAAAAATTGTCGGGTCCCAAGTCAGTTCCCGTTGTGCCTGTACAGACATCTGCAGTGGTGGTTATCCAAGACTAATGTCTGCTCCAGAGTCCCCTCGGAACTTTTTCTGCCAACGCTTCACCTGTTCGTGGATGTATCGACAGTGGGTTGGTGAGTGCACCTGCAGAATTGTAAGACATGAGGACTTTGGTCAGCAATAGAATCATTGGGCGGAAGTGCTCCGGTCATCTCGACTCATGATACAGTCGGACAATGCCTCAGACGTTAGGTACATCAACAAGATGGGATTCACCAAGTCAGCCTCCCTGTTGACCCTGACGATGTACTTCATTCATCTGATCAATACTCTGGACATCAGTGACCGAGCTCAACACATTCTGGGAGTTAGTAACGTCAGGGCAGACTCCCTGCCCCGTTCGGATCAACCATCCTCGACAGAATGGCATCTACATCTGAAAATCTTGATTTGCCGCCTCTACCATTGCCAAGAGATCAACCTATTTGCCACCAGCTTCAACAAACAACTTCCTAGATTCGTCTGTTTGATTCCTGATCAAAAGGTGTGGGAGTACAACGCTTTGGCCATATCGTGGGAGAATCTCAACACTTACTCCTTTCCAGCAACAGCGCTTCTACTTTGGGTGATTCAGAAGCTGGTCACCACGACTCAGCTGTGCCTTACTGGCCAGCTCACAGCTGGTTCATTGTGTTGGTATACCTCGCAAAGGGAAACCATCATCCACTTCCCTTGCGAAGATCGTCTCCTTCAATCTCACTCCAGGCTGCTACATCAATCACTGGATCTATATGTCTGGCTCATCTCCAGAAGTCCTTAGTCTCTCATACATTTGTCTCCTTTTGGTTATGATCTACAACTCCACTTGCCTACAGCGGGATTGCCTCCACCTCAGACACTGAATCCTCACGAGACGAGAGCTATCGCATTATCATGGCTCTGCATAGCAATTGCTCCCTCAGCGCTATCATAGAAGGATGTTTCTGGAAGTCTGACACAGTCTTCACCTACCACTACTTATGAGTTATCTCCATAACTGATGTCCAAGGGCTACACCACTTTGGTCTGCTAGTCCTGACTCAAGGATTAATGACAGCCCGTCAACACAAATAGGATGTGAGTACCACTCACGCAGTCGAGTATATCGTATTTTGTACAACATGAATAAATGATTGAGAGCCACTCCTTTGTTTATATTTTTCTTAATTGGGGTTCCCAGATCAAGGCTTCAATGGAGAAGCAAAAAATTCATCTGTGGAGACGGCGGTATCCCAAACCCTTACCTGCTCATTTCTGCCTTAAGCATGTGAAGTACCAGTATTGGTTTGAAGACCCTCTTCTGGATATTGTCGATCATTTCCTCATCTTGTCATAGTGAGTTCTATCCTGTGGTGGGATTGATAACTTCGACAAAGAGTAAAATGAGATGCCAAGCAAATGAGGCCTACGTCATTAGAGCGTATGGGTGACTTTGCTTGTAGAGATAATTGACTGGAGACCCCTTCCAGATTGGTTAAAAGTTGTGGTTGAATAGGTTACCCTACTTCAAACTATACGGCCGTCATAGTCATAGTACGATGTCCTGTACCCGATGGCATAATGTTGTGTCCTAGTAGCGTAGAGGGGTGTTCTCACTCAGTGCAGTGATCCACCCATAAAATCATGAGTATGCCTTCGGACGTGAATGTGTGACAATCTCAGGATTGAAGCATGTTTGGCACCAGCTTCCTCGTGTATATCTCACGATTATAAGACAAATACAGGCAGGGGTAATCTGCGACCCACCGTCCAACCATGGCATAAATGCAAAGAGTGGTATAGGATAAGTTTAAACATTTTAAAATTTTACAGTAAATTGTATATTATTCATACTTATCTTATCTCACACGATCTATGCCTGCCCTTTCATCCCGGCATCACAATTACACAGCCTGTCAACTCCAAGTAAGAGAATGATGAGGCAGAGAGTGTCAGGTGATCAGCACACATACGGCAAGCTGCACAAGATCCGGGTGCAAGACCTGATTGACAGGGTTGTGGTGATGTTTGGGCGAATGAAGCTTAGAAGCTGGAAACTTTGTTTTTGGACATTTCCACACAAGGATCGGAAGAGATGAGAAGCATTGAGTGAGAGTATTATAAATATACAATTTACTGTAAAATTTATATTAACTCAAAAATGCAACTCATCAAACCATCTGATTGATCAATATGATATGCGGCACATTAACTTGTTTTCTAGGATGCAGTTCTTATTGTATTGAGTGTTGATGTTGTAGCTGCCAGTGCTGTCAATGCCAAGCCAGCCCCTAATGCTCCACAGGCTATCATCATAGAGGTGAGTAACCCTAGGTAGTGGGCAGCCATGTTCATATACCTAACTAATGCTCTACAGGCTGTCGTCATACAGGAAACACTACGTAGTGAGTTGTCATGTTCATATACCTAACTAATGCTCTACAGGCTATCGTCATACAGGAAACACTACGTAGTGAGTTGTCATGTTCATATACCTAACTAATGCTCTACAGGCTTTCGTCATACAGGAAACACTACGTAGTGAGTTGCCATGTTCAAATACCTAACTAATGCTCTACAGACTGTCGTCATACAGGAAACACTACGTAGTGAGTTGCATGTTCAAATACCTAACTAATGCTCTACAGGCTGTCGTCATACAGGAAACACTACGTAGTGAGTTGTCATGTTCATATACCTAACTAATGCTCTACAGGCTATCGTCATACAGGAAACACTACGTAGTGAGTTGTCATGTTCATATACCTAACTAATGCTCTACAGACTGTCGTCATACAGGAAACACTACGTAGTGAGTTGTCATGTTCATATACCTAACTAATGCTCTACAGACTGTCGTCATACAGGAAACACTACGTAGTGAGTTGCCATGTTCATATACCTAACTAATGCTCTACAGGCTATCGTCATACAGGAAACACTACGTAGTGAGTTGTCATGTTCATATACCTAACTAATGCTCTACAGGCTATCTTCATACAGGAAACACTACGTAGTGAGTTGTCATGTTCATATACCTAACTAATGCTCTACAGGCTATCATCATACAGGAAACACTACGTAGTGAGTTGTCATGTTCATATACCTAACTAATGCTCTACAGGCTATCTTCATACAGGAAACACTACGTAGTGAGTTGCCATGTTCATATACCTAACTAATGCTCTACAGGCTATCGTCATACAGGAAACACTACGTAGTGAGTTGTCATGTTCATATACCTAACTAATGCTCTACAGGCTATCGTCATACAGGAAACACTACGTAGTGAGTTGCCATGTTCATATACCTAACTAATGCTCTACAGGCTATCGTCATACAGGAAACACTACGTAGTGAGTTGTCATGTTCATATACCTAACTAATGCTCTACAGGCTATCGTCATACAGGAAACACTACGTAGTGAGTTGCCATGTTCATATACCTAACTAATGCTCTACAGGCTATCGTCATACAGGAAACACTACGTAGTGAGTTGCCATGTTCATATACCTAACTAATGCTCTACAGGCTATCTTCATACAGGAAACACTACGTAGTGAGTTGTCATGTTCATATACCTAACTAATGCTCTACAGGCTATCGTCATACAGGAAACACTACGTAGTGAGTTGCCATGTTCATATACCTAACTAATGCTCTACAGGCTATCGTCATACAGGAAAAACTACGTAGTGAGTTGTCATGTTCATATACCTAACTAATGCTCTACAGGCTATCGTCATACAGGAAACACTACGTAGTGAGTTGCCATGTTCATATACCTAACTAATGCTCTACAGGCTATCGTCATACAGGAAACACTACGTAGTGAGTTGCCATGTTCATATACCTAACTAATGCTCTACAGACGGTCGTCATACAGGAAACACTACGTAGTGAGTTGCCATGTTCATATACCTAACTAATGCTCTACAGGCTATCGTCATACAGGAAACACTACGTAGTGAGTTGCCATGTTCATATACCTAACTAATGCTCTACAGACTGTCGTCATACAGGAAACACTACGTAGTGAGTTGTCATGTTCATATACCTAACTAATGCTCTACAGACTGTCTTCATACAGGAAACACTACGTAGTGGGTTGCCATGTTCATATACCTAACTAATGCTCTACAGGCTATCGTCATACAGGAAACACTACGTAGTGAGTTGCCATGTTCATATACCTAACTAATGCTCTACAGGCTGTCGTCATACAGGAAACACTACGTAGTGAGTTGTCATGTTCATATACCTAACTAATGCTCTACAGACTGTCTTCATACAGGAAACACTACGTAGTGGGTTGCCATGTTCATATACCTAACTAATGCTCTACAGGCTATCGTCATACAGGAAACACTACGTAGTGAGTTGTCATGTTCATATACCTAACTAATGCTCTACAGGCTATCGTCATACAGGAAACACTACGTAGTGAGTTGCCATGTTCATATAGCTAACTAATGCTCTACAGGCTATCGTCATACAGGAAACACTACGTAGTGAGTTGTCATGTTCATATACCTAACTAATGCTCTACAGACTGTCTTCATACAGGAAACACTACGTAGTGGGTAGCCATGTTCATATACCTAACTAATGCTCTACAGACTGTCGTCATACAGGAAACACTACGTAGTGAGTTGTCATGTTCATATACCTAACTAATGCTCTACAGGCTATCGTCATACAGGAAACACTACGTAGTGAGTTGTCATGTTCATATACCTAACTAATGCTCTACAGGCTATCGTCATACAGGAAACACTACGTAGTGAGTTGTCATGTTCATATACCTAACTAATGCTCTACAGACTGTCGTCATACAGGAAACACTACGTAGTGAGTTGCCATGTTCATATACCTAACTAATGCTCTACAGGCTATCTTCATACAGGAAACACTACGTAGTGAGTTGTCATGTTCATATACCTAACTAATGCTCTACAGGCTGTCGTCATACAGGAAACACTACGTAGTGAGTTGTCATGTTCATATACCTAACTAATGCTCTACAGGCTTTCGTCATACAGGAAACACTACGTAGTGAGTTGCCATGTTCATATACCTAACTAATGCTCTACAGGCTATCTTCATACAGGAAACACTACGTAGTGAGTTGTCATGTTCATATACCTAACTAATGCTCTACAGGCTGTCGTTATACAGGAAACACTACGTAGTGAGTTGTCATGTTCATATACCTAACTAATGCTCTACAGGCTATCGTCATACAGGAAACACTACGTAGTGAGTTGTCATGTTCATATACCTAACTAATGCTCTACAGGCTGTCGTTATACAGGAAACACTACGTAGTGAGTTGTCATGTTCATATACCTAACTAATGCTCTACAGGCTATCGTCATACAGGAAACACTACGTAGTGAGTTGTCATGTTCATATACCTAACTAATGCTCTACAGGCTATCGTCATACAGGAAACACTACGTAGTGAGTTGTCATGTTCATATACCTAACTAATGCTCTACAGGCTGTCGTCATACAGGAAACACTACGTAGTGAGTTGTCATGTTCATATACCTAACTAATGCTCTACAGACTGTCTTCATACAGGAAACACTACGTAGTGAGTTGTCATGTTCATATACCTAACTAATGCTCTACAGACTGTCTTCATACAGGAAACACTACGTAGTGAGTTGTCATGTTCATATACCTAACTAATGCTCTACAGGCTGTCGTCATACAGGAAACACTACGTAGTGAGTTGTCATGTTCATATACCTAACTAATGCTCTACAGGCTATCGTCATACAGGAAACACTACGTAGTGAGTTGCCATGTTCATATACCTAACTAATGCTCTACAGACTGTCTTCATACAGGAAACACTACGTAGTGGGTTGTCATGTTCATATACCTAACTAATGCTCTACAGACTGTCTTCATACAGGAAACACTACGTAGTGAGTTGCCATGTTCATATACCTAACTAATGCTCTACAGACTGTCTTCATACAGGAAACACTACGTAGTGAGTTGCCATGTTCATATACCTAACTAATGCTCTACAGACTGTCGTCATACAGGAAACACTACGTAGTGAGTTGCCATGTTCATATACCTTACTAATGCTCTACAGGCTGTCGTCATACAGGAAACACTACGTAGTGAGTTGTCATGTTCATATACCTAACTAATGCTCTACAGACTGTCGTCATACAGGAAACACTACGTAGTGAGTTGTCATGTTCATATACCTAACTAATGCTCTACAGGCTGTCGTCATACAGGAAACACTACGTAGTGAGTTGTCATGTTCATATACCTAACTAATGCTCTACAGACTGTCGTCATACAGGAAACACTACGTAGTGAGTTGCCATGTTCATATACCTAACTAATGCTCTACAGGCTATCTTCATACAGGAAACACTACGTAGTGAGTTGTCATGTTCATATACCTAACTAATGCTCTACAGGCTGTCGTCATACAGGAAACACTACGTAGTGAGTTGCCATGTTCATATACCTAACTAATGCTCTACAGGCTATCGTCATACAGGAAACACTACGTAGTGAGTTGTCATGTTCATTTACCTAACTAATGCTCTACAGACTGTCTTCATACAGGAAACACTACGTAGTGAGTTGTCATGTTCATATACCTAACTAATGCTCTACAGACTGTCTTCATACAGGAAACACTACGTAGTGGGTTGCCATGTTCATATACCTAACTAATGCTCTACAGGCTATCGTCATACAGGAAACACTACGTAGTGAGTTGCCATGTTCATATACCTAACTAATGCTCTACAGGCTGTCGTCATACAGGAAACACTACGTAGTGAGTTGTCATGTTCATATACCTAACTAATGCTCTACAGACTGTCTTCATACAGGAAACACTACGTAGTGGGTTGCAATGTTCATATACCTAACTAATGCTCTACAGGCTATCGTCATACAGGAAACACTACGTAGTGAGTTGTCATGTTCATATACCTAACTAATGCTCTACAGGCTATCGTCATACAGGAAACACTACGTAGTGAGTTGCCATGTTCATATAGCTAACTAATGCTCTACAGGCTATCGTCATACAGGAAACACTACGTAGTGAGTTGTCATGTTCATATACCTAACTAATGCTCTACAGACTGTCTTCATACAGGAAACACTACGTAGTGGGTAGCCATGTTCATATACCTAACTAATGCTCTACAGACTGTCGTCATACAGGAAACACTACGTAGTGAGTTGTCATGTTCATATACCTAACTAATGCTCTACAGGCTATCGTCATACAGGAAACACTACGTAGTGAGTTGTCATGTTCATATACCTAACTAATGCTCTACAGGCTATCGTCATACAGGAAACACTACGTAGTGAGTTGCCATGTTCTTGCTTTCTTGGTGCTGTCATTGGCATGTTAGAATGATAACAACAACAGAAGTGCATGGACATTGCCAACAGACATTGTAATATATGTAACAAAATCAAGTTTAAGTTTATAAGTTTAAGTTTAAGTTCATTTGTAAGTGTTTATCAGGTTGTGATATTCAATGCAGTTTGTTGATGCTGTAGTCTTCTTCCATATTGCAGCCCTCCCGGGAGCTGGCAGAACAGGTGAGTACTGCTGTCACTTTCTCCTGTAGGTATTGTCAGTGGGGGTAGTTGCCTGTTTATAAACTTCCCTGGCAGAACAGGTGAGTACTGCTGTCACTTTCTCCTGTAGGTATTGTCAGTGGGGGTAGTTGCCTGTTTATAAACTTCCCTGGCAGAACAGGTGAGTACTGCTGTCACTTTCTCCTGTAGGTATTGTCAGTGGGGGTAGTTGCCTGTTTATAAACTTCCCTGGCAGAACAGGTGAGTACTGCTGTCACTTTCTCCTGTAGGTATTGTCAGTGGTGATAGTTGCCTGTTTATAAAGTTCCCTGTGGTAGTTTTTAGTAAGAGTAATAGCCTGTTATGTCATGGAATAGATTACTTTTATGCTAATAAGGAAGTGTGACATAGCCATGCACTTGTGTCTTTCAGACCCTCACTCAGCTGCAGAAGTTCAAGAAACATGTCAACAACCCTGATGTGAGGTGAGCTGGAAGACTGTGGTTGTCCATGGCTGAGGGTTGAGATATCTGTGTGTGTGTGGTGGCCCATGGCTGGGGGTTGTGGAGATATCTGTGTGTGTGTGTGGTGGCCCATGGCTGAGGGTTGTGGAGATATCTGTGTGTGTGTGGTGGCCCATGGCTGAGGGTTGTGGAGATATCTGTGTGTGTGTGTGTGGTGGCCCATGGCTGAGGGTTGAGGAGATATCTGTGTGTGTGTGGTGGCCCATGGCTGAGGGTTGTGGAGATATCTGTGTGTGTGTGGTGGCCCATGGCTGAGGGTTGTGGAGTGAGTGAGTATGGTTTTACGCCACTTTTAGCAATATTCCAGCAATATCACGGCGGGGGACACCAGAAATGGGCTTCACACATTGTACCCATGTCGGGAATCGTACCCGGGTCTTCGGCGTGACGAGCGAACGCTTTAACCACTAGGCTACCCGACTGCCCCTGAGGGTTGTGGAGATATCTGTGTGTGTGTGTATGTGTGGTGGCCCATGGCTGTGTGTGTGTGTGTGTGTGTGTGTGTGTGTGTGGGTGTGGGTGTGGGTGGGTGGGTGGGTGGTGGCCCATGGCTGAGGGCTGTGGAGATATCTGTGTGTGTGTGTGTGTGTGTGTGTGTGTGTGTGTGTGTGTGTGTGTGTGTGTGTGTGTGTGTGTGTGTGTGTGTGTGTGTGTGTGTGTGTGTGAGAGGTGTGTGTGTGTGTGTGTGTGTGTGTGTGTGTGTGTGTGTGTGTGGTGGCCCATGGCTGAGGGTTGTGGAGTGTGTGTGTGTGTGTGTGTGGTGGCCCATGGCTGAGGGTTGTGGAGTGTGTCTGTGAGAGGATTGTGGAGATGTGTGTGGTGTGATGACCCATGCTGCAGAGGGTGTGTGCCATTCTGGAGACATCACACTGTCTGTTTGTGTTGCAGGGAACTACTGATTATTGGGGGAGTCAGCGCCAAGGAGCAGGTGGATTGTTTGGAAAGAGGGGTAGGCCACTGGCTAGAAACACCAATTTTTTTTATAAATGTCTTTATATATTAATTTGATTTATCTGAAGTTTGAACAAATGGCAAATGTTGAGGAAATCTGTATATGTTGTGTCAAGTATTCTGAAGGGCGTGACAGTCCAAAGTTAGATATTGTCTAACTATACTACAGTTACCATACAAATGTGATTATTTTGAGCTGAAATCTTGGTATGACATGTTTTGCTGATTCCGATTTGTTAATGACATTAGCATGAGTACAGATTCATTTCAAGTTTGAAAAAAAAAAAATGTAGGAACTCCAATATGGGACTTGCATCCAGTCATGACATTTTAAGATAGGAATTTATTTATTTTCCTAAAACAGTTAAAACCAATTTTGAGTATGGCAGTGATCCATTGTTATCCTCCCACATCAAACAGGCCATATTATACAGCCAGTTAATAGGTGAAGCATATAAAACCCTCCTTTACTCATTTTGCACATACTTTTAGCTCAATCTGACTGTTTTAGCTGAGCAGCACTGTCACGGTGCTATGTATTTCTGTTCTACCAGCAGGGCCTATATCCAATGGTGCAGCATCAAACATTCATTTCCATCTCATCGTCAATCCCATTGTCAATCCCATTGTCCATCACATTTTCCATCCCATTGTCCACCCCACTGTCCATCCAACTGTCCATCACATTGGCCATCTAACTGTCCATCCCATTGTCCATCCCTCTGTCTATCCCATTGGCCATCCCACTGTCCATCCCACTGGCCGTCCCACTGTCCATCCCACTGGCCAACCCATTATCCATCCCATTGTCCATCCCATTGTCCATCCCTCTGTCCATCCCACTGTCCATCCCACTGTTCATCCCATTGGCCACTAACGTAATAACCCAAAACACAAGAATTAAAATAAATAAAATATAGTGCTTACACACATATAAAGGGCTGGTTATCAGTCATTATGGCTGTCTTAGCCCATTCATGTTACGCCCATCCATGTTACGCCCATCAATATAAGTTCAAAACAACAGCATATGCCATGAAAGGTAACGTGACCTGTCAAAGTGGTCATTGTTATTTAGTGTAAAAGCACACTATACATACTTTTAATACTGTTGATGAACCCATCGCTGTTGTAATGGAATCCCTGGTTCAACGGGGAACTCCCTGCGCTCTTAGATTGACTTTGAACCAAATTCTTGACGAAGCTGAACGAGACATGCGAGACAAGCGATAAATCACTTCCGGGTGTTTGCTCTGCCGCCATGGGGGGGGGCACGGGTGGCCCAGTCGTCTAAGGTGCCGCGATTCGCTGTGCAGAGTTGCGTCCCCTGGACACGCCAGGAACCTATGATTGTGGGTTCGAATCCCGGTTCGCCCCGATTATGTTTCTAGGTTTGTCAGCACCATACCCGTGCTTGTGGGTTTCACCGAAGTGGTAAAACGTCTGAGACCTGCATCACTTCGGGCTTTCCTCCCACATTAAGCTGACACGCCGCGATATAACTGAAATAATGTTAAAAGCGGCGTTAAACCCAACTCACTCACTCTGCCGCCATGCGGGGAAAACTTCGTTTGACTTTGGGGCCATGCATAAATATTAAGAGAGGTCTATTGGCCATCCCACTGGCCATCCCACTGGCCATCCCACTGTCCATCGCATTGGCCATCTCACTGTCGATCCCACTGGCCATCCCACTGTCCATCCCATTCTCCATCCCACTGGTCACCCCACTGGCCACCCCACTGGCCATCCCACTGGCCATCCCACTGGCCACCCCACTGGCCACCCCACTGGCCATCCCACTGGCCATCCCACTGGCCACCCCACTGGCCACCCCACTGGCCATCCCACTGGCCACCCCACTGGCCACCCCACTGGCCACCCCATTGGCCATCCCACTGGCCACCCCACTGGCCATCCCACTGGCCACTCCACTGGCCACCCCACTGGCCACCCCACTGGCCATCCCACTGGCCACCCCACTGTCCACCCCACTGTCCACCCCACTGGCCATCCCACTGGCCATCCCACTGGCCACCCCACTGGTCACCCGACTGGCCACCCCACTGGCCATCCCACTCGCCATCCCACTGGCCACCCCACTGTCCACCCCACTGGTCACCCCACTGGCCATCCCACTGTCCACCCCACTGGCCATCCCACTGGCCATCCCACTGGGCACCCCACTGGTCACCCAAATGGCCACCCCACTGGCCACCCCACTGGCAATCCCACTGGCCATCCCATTGGCCACCCCACTGGCCATCCCACTGGCCACCCCACTGTCCACGCCACTGGCCATCCCACTGGCCATCCCACTGGCCACCCCACTGGCCACCCCACTGGCCACTCCACTGGCCACCCCACTGGCCATCCCACTGGCCACCCCACTGGCCACCCCACTGTCCACCCCACTGGCCATCCCACTGGCCACCCCACTGGCCATCCCACTGGCCACCCCACTGGCCACCCCACTGGCCACCCCACTGGCCATCCCACTGGCCACCCCACTGTCCACCCCACTGGCCATCCCACTGGCCATCCCACTGGCCATCCCACTGGCCATCCCACTGTCCACCCCACTGTCCATCCCACTGGCCATCCCACTGTCCATCCCATTGGCCATCCAATTGTCCATCCCATTGGCCATCCCATTGTCCATCCCACTGGCCATCCCACTGGCAATCCCACTGGCCATCTCACCGTCAATCCCATTGTCCATCCCATTGTCCATCACATTTTCCATCCCATTGTCCACCCCACTGTCCATCCCACTGTCCATCACATTGGCCATCTAACTGTCCATCCCATTGTCCATCCCTCTGTCAATCCCATTGGCCATCCCACTGTCCATCCCACTGGCCGTCCCACTGTCCATCCCACTGGCCAACCCACTGTCCATCCCATTGTCCATCCCTCTGTCCATCCCACTGTCCATCCCACTGTTCATCCCATTGGCCACTAACCTAATAACCCAAAACACAAGAATTAAAATAAATAAAATATAGTGCTTACACACATATAAAGGGCTGGTTATCAGTCATTATGGCTGTCTTAGCCCATTCATGTTACGCCCATCCATGTTACGCCCATCAATATAAGTTCAAAACAACAGCATATGCCATGAAAGGTAACGTGACCTGTCAAAGTGGTCATTGTTATTTAGTGTAAAAGCACACTATACATACTTTTAATACTGTTGATGAACCCATTGCTGTTGTAATGGAATCCCTGGTTCAACGGGGATCTCCTCGCGCTCTTAGATTGACTTTGAACCAAATTCTTGACGAAGCTGAACGAGACATGCGAGACAAGCGATAAATCACTTCCGGCTGTTTGCTCTGCCGCCATGTGGGGGAAACTTTGTTTTGGAGTTTGACTTTGGGGCCATGCAAAAATATTAAGAGAGGTCTATTGGCCATCCCACTGGCCATCCCACTGGCCATCCCACTGTCCATCGCATTGGCCATCTCACTGTCGATCCCACTGGCCATCCCACTGTCCATCCCATTCTCCATCCCACTGGTCACCCCACTGGCCACCCCACTGGCCATCCCACTGGCCATCCCACTGGCAACCCCACTGGCCATCCCTCTGGCCACCCTACTGGTCATCCCACTGTCCATCCCAATAGCCATCCAACTCTCCATCCCACTGGCCATCCCACTGTCCACTCCACAGGCCATCCCATTGGCCATCCCATTGGCCATCCCACTGTCTATCCCACTGGCCATCCCACTGTCCACTCCACAGGCCATCCCATTGGCAATCCCACTGTCCACTCCACAGGCCATCCCATTGGCCATCCCATTGGCCATCCCACTGTCCATCCCACTGTCCATCCCATTGGCCATCCCACTGTCCATCCCACTGGCCATCTCACTGGCCATCCCATTGGCCATCCCATTGGCCATCCCACTGTCCATCCCACTGGCCATCTCACTGGCCATCTCATTGGCCATCCCATTGGCCATCCCATTGGCCATCCCACTGTCCACTCCACTGTCCACCCCACTGGCCATCCCACTGGCCATCCCATTGGCCATCCCATTGGCCATCCCACTGTCCATCCCATTGGCCATCCCACTGTCCATCCCATTGGCCATCTCACTGTCCATCCCACTGTCCACTCCACTGTCCACCCCACTGGCCATCCCACTGGCCATCCCATTGGCCATCCCACTGTCCATCCCACTGTCCATCCCATTGGCCATCCCACTGTCCATCCCACTGGCCATCTCACAGGCCATCCCATTGGCCATCCCATTGGCCATCCCACTGTCCATCCCACTGGCCATCCCACTGGCCATCCCATTGGCCATCCCATTGGCCATCCCACTGTCCACCCCACTAGCCATCTCACTGGCCATCCCATTGTCCATCCCATTGGCCATCCCATTGGCCATCCCACTGTCCACTCCACTGTCCACCCCACTGTCCACCCCACTGTCCACCCCACTGGCCATCCCACTGGCAATCTTACTGGCAATCCCACTGTCCATCCTATTGTCCATCCCACTGGCCATCCCACTGGCCATCCCACTGTCAATCTTACTGGCAATCCCACTGTCCACCCCACTGTCCACTCCACTGTCCACCCCACTGGCCATCCCACTGTCAATCTTACTGGCAATCCCACTGTCCATCCCATTGTCCATCCCACTGGCCACCCCACTGTCAATCCTACTATCCATCCCATTGGCCATCCCATTGTCCATCCCACTGTCCATCCCACTGTCAATCCTACTGTCCATCCCAGTGGCCATCCCATTAGCCACCAACATATTATCATCTTTGGTTCAGGACAAAGTGTTATGGATGGGTTTTGTCCCAATTTGATGTTTCAAGTTCAATAACCAGTCACATCTGTCAACATACAGAAAATGAAATATCACATTGTCTTGAATTGACCTGTGACTGGTTTTCTAATTCCAATTACTACATGTGTTGATGAATGATTTAATGATTTTCAGCAGAATTTCAGTTGAACAGTTTAAGCGAATAAGGCTTGCAGTCACTGATTTGGTGGATTGTGACCATATTCGATAATTAGGTTGTTACTTCTTACCACATGTTAATAGGCATTGTCATTACACAGAAGTGTAACATTTCAAAAACAGTATAAGGAGATGAGAATTTGAAACGTGTGTGCAGGTGGACATTGTGTGTGGGACCCCTGGCCGTCTGGAGGACCTCATCTCTACAGGCAAACTAGCTCTCCATCAGATTCGCTTCTTTGTACTGGACGAGTGTGTAAGTAGACCCTTACATCACAGAATACAAGTCACTTACACCTAGAAATTTGATGCTATAGATTTTTGTTGCTAGGGGGACTAGGTACCTAGTACCTCATGTTGTGTGGACGCTCCAGGGTGTCTCATGCTGGCTGTGTGGAGACTCCAGGGGGGACTAGGTACCTAGTGCCTCATGCTGGCTTTGTGGAGACTCCAGGGTGTCTCATGCTGGCTTTGTGGAGGCTCCAGGGTGTCTCATGCTGGCTTTGTGGAGACTTCAGGGTGTCTCTTGCTGGCTGTGTGGGGATTCCAGGGAGGACTAGGTACCCAATACCTCATGCTGGCTTTGTGGAAGCTCCAGGGTGTATCATGCTGTCTGTGTGGGGACTCCAGGGGGGACTCCAGGGTGTCTCATGCTGGCTGTGTGGAGACTTCAGGGTGTCTCTTGCTGGCTGTGTGGGGATTCCAGGGAGGACTAGGTACCCAATACCTCATGCTGGCTTTGTGGAAGCTCCAGGGTGTATCATGCTGTCTGTGTGGGGACTCCAGGGGGGACTAGGTACCCAGGGTGTCACTTGCTGGCTGTGTTGAGACTTCAGGGTGTCTCATGCTGGCTGTGTGGGGACTCCAGGGAGGACTAGGTACCCAATACCTCATGCTGGCTTTGTGGAAGCTCCAGGGTGTATCATGCTGTCTGTGTGGGGACTCCAGGGGGGACTAGGTACCCAGGGTGTCTCTTGCTGTGAGGGAACTCCAGGGTGTCTCATGCTGGCTGTGTTGAGACTTCAGGGTGTCTCATGCTGGCTGTGTGGAGACTTCAGGGTGTCTCATGCTGGCTTTGTGGAGACTTCAGGGTGTCTCATGCTGGCTTTGTGGAGACTTCAGGGTGTCTCATGCTGGCTGTGTGAGGATTCCAGGGAGGACTAGGTACCCAATACCTCATGCTGGCTTTGTGGAAGCTCCAGGGTGTATCATGCTGTCTGTGTTGAGACTTCAGGGTGTCTCATGCTGGCTGTGTTGAGACTTCAGGGTGTCTCATGCTGGCTTCGTTGAGACTTCAGGGTGTCTCTTGCTGTGAGGGAACTCCAGGGTGTCTCATGCTGGCTGTGTTGAGACTTCAGGGTGTCTCATGCTGGCTGTGTGGAGACTTCAGGGTGTCTCTTGCTGTGAGGGAACTCCAGGGTGTCTCATGCTGGCTGTGTGGAGACTTCAGGGTGTCTCTTGCTGTGTGGGGATTCCAGGGAGGACTAGGTACCCAATACCTCATGCTGGCTTTGTGGAAGCTCCAGGGTGTATCATGCTGTCTGTGTGGGGACTCCAGGGGGGACTAGGTACCCAGGGTGTCTCATGCTGGCTGTGTTGAGACTTCAGGGTGTTTCATGCTGGCTGTGTGGAGACTTCAGGGTGTCTCTTGTTGTATGGCAACTCCAGGGTGTCACTTGCTCCGTGGGGACTCCAGGGTGTCACTTGCTGTGAGGGGACTCCAGGGTGTCTCATGCTGGCTGTGTGGAGACTTCAGGGTGTCTCATGCTGGCTGTGTGGGGATTCCAGGGAGGACTAGGTACCCAATACCTCATGCTGGCTTTGTGGAAGCTCCAGGGTGTATCATGCTGTCTGTGTGGGGACTCCAGGGGGGACTAGGTACCCAGGGTGTCTCTTGCTGTGAGGGAACTCCAGGGTGTCTCATGCTGGCTGTGTGGAGACTTCAGGGTGTCTCATGCTGGCTGTGTGGAGACTTCAGGGTGTCTCTTGTTGTATGGCAACTCCAGGGTGTCACTTGCTCCGTGGGGACTCCAGGGTGTCACTTGCTGTAAGGGGACTCCAGGGTGTCTCATGCTGGCTGTGTGGAGACTTCAGGGTGTCTCTTGCTGTGAGGGGACTCCATGGTGTCTCATGCTGGCTGTGTGGAGACTTCAGGGTGTCTCTTGCTGTGAGGGGACTCCAGGGTGTCTCATGCTGGCTGTGTGGGGATTCAGGGCATCTCATGGTGTGTGGAGACTCCAGGGTGTCTCTTGCTGTGAGGGGACTCCAGGGTGTCTCCAGGGTATCTCATGGTGTGTGGAGACACCAGGGTGTCTCTTGCTGTGAGGGGACTCCAGGGTGTCTTTTCCTGTGAGGGGACTCCAGGGTGTCTCATGGTGTGTGGAGACTCCAGGGTGTCTCCAGCGCAGCTCATGGTGTGTGGAGACTCCAGGGTGTCTCTTGCTGTGAGGGGACTCCAGGGTGTCTCCAGGGCATCTCATGGTGTGTGGAGACACCAGGGTGTCTCTTGCTGTGACGGGACTCCAGGGTGTCTGCAGGGTGTCTCTTGCTATGAGGGGACTCCAGGGTGTCTCTAGGGCATCTCATGGTGTGTGGAGACTCCAGGGTGTCTCCAGGGCATCTCATGGTGTGTGGAGACTCCAGGGTGTCTCTTGCTGTGAGGGGACTCCAGGGTGTCTCCAGGGCATCACATGGTGTGTGGAGACTCCAGGGTGTCTCCAGGGCATCACATGGTGTGTGGAGACTCCAGGGTGTCTCCAGGGTGTCTCCAGGGCATCACATGGTGTGTGGAGACACCAGGGTGTCTCTTGCTGTGTGGAGACTCCAGGGTGTCTCATGGTATGTGGAGACACCAGGGTGTCTCTTGCTGTGTGGAGACTCCAGGGTGTCTCATGGTGTGTGGAGACTCCAGGGTGTTTCCAGGGCATCCTATGGTGTGTGGAGACTCCAGGGTGTCTCTTGCTGTGAGGGGACTCCAGGGCATCTCATGGTGTGTGGAGACACCAGGGTGTCTCTTGCTGTGTGGAGACTCCAGGGTGTCTCATGGTGTGTGGAGACTCCAGGGTGTTTCCAGGGCATCCTATGGTGTGTGGAGACTCCAGGGCGTCTCTTGCTGTGAGGGGACTCCAGGGTGTCTCATGGTGTGTGGAGACACCAGGGTGTCTCTTGCTGTGAGGGGACTCCAGGGCATCTCATGGTGTGTGGAGACACCAGGGTGTCTCTTGCTGTGTGGAGACTCCAGGGTGTTTCCAGGGCATCCTATGGTGTGTGGAGACACCAGGGTGTCTCTTGCTGTGAGGGGACTCCAGGGCATCTCATGGTGTGTGGAGACACCAGGGTGTCTCATGGTGTGTGGAGACTCCAGGGTGTTTCCAGGGCATCCTATGGTGTGTGGAGACTCCAGGGCGTCTCTTGCTGTGAGGGGACTCCAGGGTGTCTCATGGTGTGTGGAGACACCAGGGTGTCTCTTGCTGTGAGGGGACTCCAGGGCATCTCATGGTGTGTGGAGACACCAGGGTGTCTCTTGCTGTGTGGAGACTCCAGGGTGTTTCCAGGGCATCCTATGGTGTGTGGAGACACCAGGGTGTCTCTTGCTGTGAGGGGACTCCAGGGCATCTCATGGTGTGTGGAGACACCAGGGTGTCTCATGGTGTGTGGAGACTCCAGGGTGTTTCCAGGGCATCCTATGGTGTGTGGAGACACCAGGGTGTCTCTTGCTGTGAGGGGACTCCAGGGCATCTCATGGTGTGTGGAGACACCAGGGTGTCTCATGGTGTGTGGAGACTCCAGGGTGTTTCCAGGGCATCCTATGGTGTGTGGAGACTCCAGGGCGTCTCTTGCTGTGAGGGGACTCCAGGGTGTCTCATGGTGTGTGGAGACACCAGGGTGTCTCTTGCTGTGAGGGGACTCCAGGGCATCTCATGGTGTGTGGAGACACCAGGGTGTCTCTTGCTGTGTGGAGACTCCAGGGTGTTTCCAGGGCATCCTATGGTGTGTGGAGACACCAGGGTGTCTCTTGCTGTGAGGGGACTCCAGGGCATCTCATGGTGTGTGGAGACACCAGGGTGTCTCATGGTGTGTGGAGACTCCAGGGTGTTTCCAGGGCATCCTATGGTGTGTGGAGACTCCAGGGTGTCTCTTGCTGTGAGGGGACTCCAGGGCATCTCATGGTGTGTGGAGACACCAGGGTGTCTCATGGTGTGTGGAGACTCCAGGGTGTTTCCAGGGCATCCTATGGTGTGTGGAGACTCCAGGGTGTCTCTTGCTGTGAGGGGACTCCAGGGCATCTCATGGTGTGTGGAGACACCAGGGTGTCTCTTGCTGTGAGGGGACTCCAGGGCATCTCATGGTGTGTGGAGACACCAGGGTGTCTCTTGCTGTGATGAGACTCCAGCGTGTCTCTTGCTGTGAGGGGACTCCAGGGCATCTCATGGTGTGTGGAGACACCAGGGTGTCTCTTGCTGTGTGGAGACTCCAGGGTGTCTCGTGTGTGGAGACTCCAGGGTGTTTCCAGGGCATCCTATGGTGTGTGGAGACTCCAGGGTGTCTCTTGCTGTGAGGGGACTCCAGGGCATCTCATGGTGTGTGGAGACACCAGGGTGTCTCTTGCTGTGTGGAGACTCCAGGGTGTCTCATGGTGTGTGGAGACTCCAGGGTGTTTCCAGGGCATCCTATGGTGTGTGGAGACTCCAGGGTGTCTCTTGCTGTGAGGGGACTTCAGGGTGTCTCATGGTGTGTGGAGACACCAGGGTGTCTCTTGCTGTGAGGGGACTCCAGGGCATCTCATGGTGTGTGGAGACACCAGGGTGTCTCTTGCTGTGTGGAGACTCCAGGGTGTCTCATGGTGTGTGGAGACTCCAGGGTGTTTCCAGGGCATCCTATGGTGTGTGGAGACTCCAGGGTGTCTCTTGCTGTGAGGGGACTCCAGGGCATCTCATGGTGTGTGGAGACACCAGGGTGTCTCTTGCTGTGAGGGGACTCCAGGGCATCTCATGGTGTGTGGAGACACCAGGGTGTCTCTTGCTGTGTGGAGACTCCAGGGTGTCTCCAGGGTATCTCATGGTGTGTGGAGACTCCAGGGTGTCTCACGATGTGTTGGGATTCCAGGGTAGTGTGTTTAGATTTTGGAGATCCCTGAGTTCTCAAAATTCTGGTTTGTTTGTGTTTGCTTGCTATTTAACGCCGCACTCAGCCATACTTCAGCTACATATGACAGCGGTTTGTAAATAGTCAAATCTGGACCAGGCAATTCAGTGATAGACATCATGAGCACTGATGTTTGTAATTGGGATACCATAACATCCATCAACCAAGTCAGTGTGTCTGATGCTGTTATTTGCCTCTTACGACAAGCATTGGTTGCTGAAGACTAGTTCTAAACCAGAATCTTCACAGGATTGTAACTTTTGAGATTCTAGTGGTCACAATGGCTGTTGAGTAAAGAAAGTAGTGTGGGCCAACTCAGAAGATCATCTCTTTAATCTTACCAATTCGATTGTGTTTTACAGTCCTTCGATAATGTGTGTTTATGACTCACTCGTTCATTCAGTGTTTTTCCTTCCAACAGGACGGGCTTCTGTCTCAGGGTTATGGTGACCTCATCAATCGCCTCCACCAACAGATTCCAAAGGTCACCAATGATGGCAAACGTTTGCAGATGATTGTGTGTTCTGCAACCCTTCATTCATTTGATGTCAAGAAAATGGCAGTATGTTGCTCACACTATCCTAAATCTAAAGTTGCTAAAACTGTTGGCAGTATTGAGACTTTATCTACAAATGTTTGCTTGTGATTGTCCAACACTGAAGATCAAGGTCTTGCCTCGTGAAATAAACATACATAATATCTGCGACCCTTTAGGTCTTTTTTATATAAATTTGACTAAACTTGACATGCATCATCACTATTTTGATGAAAGTGATTGTATAAGTAGGAATACTGGTAGCTGATGGCTCATTCTGCAATGTTTTGAACTTGTACTGCATTATGCTTGTGTTTGCCCAAACCAGAAGTGGAATCATATGAAGTATAAATGCATATAGCTTTCTTGTTATCCCCCGCCAGGCCAGAATGGCCGAAGGGGGATAATGTCCGTCCGTCTGTCCGTCCTTCTGTCCGTCCCACAGAGGGTACTAAGCTTGTGAAATCAACTCCTCCTACAGTTTCCAGAGAATATCCCTGACACTCTACACACAAGATGTCAACATGTTGATGATATGCATATCGCAGTCCCGTTTCATTTCGACTAATTGTGACAGGGTTACTGCCCGTTTTACGGAGCTTCATTTGCCGAATTGTGAGAGAGGGTACTAAGCTTGTGAAATCAACTCTTTCCAGAGAATATCCCTGACACTCTACACACTAGATGTCAACATGTTAATGATATTCATATCGCAGTCCCATTTCGTTTTGACAAATTTTGACAGAGTTACTGCCCCTGTTTTACGGAGCTTCATTTGCCTAATTGTGAGAGAGGGTACTAAGCTTGTGAAATCAACTACTCCTACAGTTTCCAGAGAATATCCCTGACACTCTACACACAAGATGTCGACATGTTTATGATATGCATATCGCAGTCCCGTTTCATTTTGACTAATTTTGACAGAGTTACTGCCCCTGTTTTACGGGGTTCATTTGCTGAATTGTGAGAGAGGGTACTAAGCTTGTGAAATCAACTCTTTCCAGAGTATATTCCTGACACTCTACACACAAGAAGTCAACATGTTAATGATATTCATATCCCAGTCCCATTTCGTTTTGACAAATTTTGACAGAGTTACTGCCCCTGTTTTACGGAGCTTCATGTGCCTAATTGTGAGAGAGGGTACTAAGCTTGTGAAATCAACTCCTCCTACAGTTTCCAGAGAATATCCCTGACACTCTACACACAAGATGTCGACATGTTGATGATACGCATATCGCAGTCCCGTTTCATTTTGACAAATTTTGACAGAGTTACTGCCCCTGTTTTATGGAGCTTCATGAAAAATACAAAGAAAATATAAACTCGTTAAAAAATTTGTGCGGGGGATGTTGTGCTCTCAGAGCACCCTTGTTTAATTAGGTGGAGAAATCTGATGTTAGGTTGCTTGCAGTATCTGTGGGTCAACAGATTGTCAAGCAAAATATGTCTGAAAAGATGGTCCACTGAGCTTCTTTTGAAACCCTCCCCACAAATCAGTTTCCCAGGATACAACAGGATCTGATGGTCCACCTGTAATATGTCTGTATCTGCAGGAGCGGCTCATGTACTTCCCCACTTGGATCGACTTGAAGGGAGCAGATGCTGTGCCAGAGACGGTCCACCATGTGGTGAGTAATCTAGCCTGACGCAGGGTGCCATATCCACCATGTGGTGAGTTATCTAGCCTGACGCAGGGTGCCATGTCAACCATGTGGTGAGTTATCAAGCCTGACACAGGCTGCCATGTCCACCATGTGGTGAGTAATCTAGCCTGATGCAGGGTGCCATATCCACCATGTGGTGAGTAATCTAGCCTGACACAGGGTGCCATGTCCACCATGTGGTGAGTTATCTAGCCTGACACAGGGTGCCATGTCCACCATGTGGTGAGTAATCTAGCCTGACACAGGCTGCCATGTCCATCATGTGGTGAGTAATCTAGCCTGACACAGGGTGCCATGTCCACCATGTGGTGAGTAATCTAGCCTGACACAGGGTGCCATGTCCATCATGTGGTGAGTAATCTAGCCTGACACAGGCTGCCATGTCCATCATGTGGTGAGTAATCTAGCCTGACACAGGGTGCCATGTCCACCATGTGGTGAGTAATCTAGCATGACACAGGCTGCCATGTCCATCGTGTGGTGAGTAATCTAGCCTGACACAGGGTGCCATGTCCACCATGTGGTGAGTAATCTAGCCTGACACAGGCTGCCATATCCACCATGTGGTGAGTAATCTAGCCTGACACAGGGTGCCATGTCCACCATGTGGTGAGTTATCTAGCCTGATGCAGGGTGCCATGTCTACCATGTGGTGAGTAATCTAGCCTGACACAGGGTGCCATGTCCACCATGTGGTGAGTTATCTAGCCAGACACAGGCTGCCATGTCCACCATGTGGTGAGTTATCTAGCCTGAGGCAGGGTGCCATGTCCACCATCTGGTGAGTAATCTAGCCTGACACAGGGTGCCATGTCCACCATGTGGTGAGTTACCTAGCCTGAGGCAGGGTGCCATGTCCACCATGTGGTGAGTTATCCAGCCTGACACAGGGTGCCATGTCCACCATGTGGTGAGTTACCTAGCCTGACACAGGGTGCCATGTCCACCATGTGGTGAGTAATCTAGTCTGATGCAGGGTGCCATGTCCACCATGTGGTGAGTTATCTAGCCTGACACGGGCTGCCATGTCCACCATGTGGTGAGTAATCTAGCCTGACACAGGGTGCCATGTCCACCATGTGGTGAGTAATCTAGCCTGACACAGGGCGCCATGTCCACCATGTGGTGAGTAATCTAGCCTGACACAGGGTGCCATGTCCACCATTGGGTGAGTTATCTAGCCTGACACAGGGTGCCATGTCCACCATGTGGTGAGTAATCTAGCCTGACACAGGCTGCCATGTCCACCATGTGGTGAGTTATCTAGCCTGACACAGGCTGCCATGTCCACCATGTGGTGAGTTATCTAGCCTGAGGCAGGGTGCCATGTCCACCATGTGGTGAGTAATCTAGCCTGACACAGGGTGCCATGTCCACCATTGGGTGAGTTATCTAGCCTGACACAGGGTGCCATGTCCACCATGTGGTGAGTTATCTAGCATGACACAGGGTGCCATGTCCACCATGTGGTGAGTAATCTAGCCTGACACAGGGTGCCATGTCCACCATTGGGTGAGTTATCTAGCCTGACACAGGGTGCCATGTCCACCATGTGGTGAGTTATCTAGCCTGACACAGGGTGCCATGTCCACCATGTGGTGAGTAATCTAGCCTGACACAGGGTGCCATATCCACCATGTGGTGAGTAATCTAGCCTGACACAGGGTGCCATGTCCACCATTGGGTGAGTTATCTAGCCTGACACAGGGTGCCATGTCCACCATGTGGTGAGTAATCTAGCCTGACACAGGCTGCCATGTCCACCATGTGGTGAGTTATCTAGCCTGACACAGGGTGCCATGTCCACCATGTGGTGAGTTACCTAGCCTGAGGCAGGGTGCCATGTCCACCATGTGGTGAGTTATCTAGCATGACACAGGGTGCCATGTCCACCATGTGGTGAGTAATCTAGCCTGACACAGGGTGCCATGTCCACCATGTGGTGAGTAATCTAGCATGACACAGGGCGCCATGTCCACCATGTGGTGAGTAATCTAGCCTGACACAGGGTGCCATGTCCACCATGTGGTGAGTAATCTAGCCTGACACAGGGTGCCATGTCCACCATGTGGTGAGTAATCTAGCATGACACAGAATGCCATGTCCACCATGTGGTGAGTAATCTAGCCTGACACAGGGTGCCATGTCCACCATTGGGTGAGTTATCTAGCCTGACACAGGGTGCCATGTCCACCATGTGGTGAGTTATCTAGCATGACACAGGGTGCCATGTCCACAATTGGGTGAGTAATCTAGCCTGACACAGGCTGCCATATCCACCATGTGGTGAGTAATCTAGCCTGACACAGGGTGCCATGTCCACCATTGGGTGAGTTATCTAGCCTGACACAGGGTGCCATGTCCACCATGTGGTGAGTAATCTAGCCTGACACAGGCTGCCATGTCCACCATGTGGTGAGTTATCTAGCCTGACACAGGCTGCCATGTCCACCATGTGGTGAGTTATGTAGCCTGAGGCAGGGTGCCATGTCCACCATGTGGTGAGTAATCTAGCCTGACACAGGGTGCCATGTCCACCATGTGGTGAGTTACCTAGCCTGAGGCAGGGTGCCATGTCCACCATGTGGTGAGTTACCTAGCCTGACACAGGGTGCCATGTCCACCATGTGGTGAGTAATCTAGTCTGATGCAGGGTGCCATGTCCACCATGTGGTGAGTTATCTAGCCCGACACGGGCTGCCATGTCCACCATGTGGTGAGTTATCTAGCCTGACACAGGGTGCCATGTCCACCATGTGGTGAGTAATCTAGCCTGACACAGGGTGCCATGTCCACCATGTGGTGAGTAATCTAGCCTGACACAGGGTGCCATGTCCACCATGTGGTGAGTAATCTAGCCTGACACAGGCTGCCATGTCCATCATGTGGTGAGTAATCTAGCCTGACACAGGGTAAAAGATAAAAAAAACCGCATGATGCCGACTTAAAAAAATTCACCTCAAAGAAAATACCAAATATGTACAACAATGTTTACTACCGTATGACATCACTGCCGGTGACTGACTTTTACAAAATGGCGCGGTCACTGACACCAGTACGCGGGAATTTCAGAGGAGGATTTTCATTAATTGAGGGATCGTATATACATAAATGTGTCATGTAAGTAATCAGAAACAATCAGACAATTTACGATCTTTTATTTGTTTTTATGTTTTCCAATGTAACAAAGAGAATTTGTCAGATATGCAGATAACTACCGTCGTTGTTGTGCGTGACTTTGTGTCAGTATGGCGTCACACAGGACAGGAACTTTTACGATTTCTGTTGAATTTCCCTGATCACTGTTATGTATATAATTTTAATTCCATAATTTGTGCTACGATACTCTTCCCACGAATATTTTCAAACCTGTCAGCCAATATATGCAACAATTAGACGAATTGATCTCTCAAAATGGGAGAGTGGAAAATCTGAATTTTGCTTTGTTTACATTTCATCAAGTACAGTTTTCCGAGCACAGTGTTTGTTTCCACACATAATTTATTTCGCTTGATGTCATCTCGATAATTTGTATTGGTGACAAAGACCATTTGTCACTTGATTCTAAAATGTAGGAGGAATTCAGGGATGCATGTATCGCAGCTCAGTTTGAAATGTACGTGACCTAATAGGCGTTTCATGACCCGCACACGTGAAACGTGATTTTTGTCAACACTATCCAATATGGCGGAAAGAGCACTTCGGCGTTCGTGTTTGGGTATTTTCCAAAACATTCTAAACGAATCCAGGCTCCTCGGCCGCGTTTCAGAATTATCATTGGTGTTTTGGTGAAAAACAGATTCACGTGATCACTTATGTGCTATTTTTGAAATTCAATCCTTCGACTAAATATCCGATATTTAGATTTTTAAACACACAGTAATTTTGCTTTGCCTAAAATGACAGCAGATGATATATCAAGAAGAGGGAATTTCCAACAGAATTCAAAACTTTTAGTGTGCGTGATGTATTTCGAATTTTAGTCAACTTCGAAGTGAGGGTTGAAGAGGATAGACATATATATCGTCGGGTGATATGTTTTTGGACATCAAACATTTTCAGACGGCAATGTTTATCGCAAATTACTCCCGCTATAACGAGGGTTGTGGTGTCAACAGACATTGTACATACTCAGATGATGGCTTGATTTTTAGATAAAGCTGTCTTTGATAAGTGAATGAGATGTGTTACGGTTATTGTGATTAGCGTCTGAAAACCCATAACACGGGGATACATCTATTTACACTCTAAAGCCATTACGTTCAGCACAGATGTAGGAAGACATTCGACTGAAGCACAAGCAACTTATAAATGACATGATCTGGAAAGTAGTCCGTCATAATCTGACCTCAGGTCATCACCATGGAGTAGCCAATCACTAGCCTGGAATTTCATCTCACACATATGATTGATACCAGTTATCTCAAATGGGTTTCTCACCCAATGGTGTGTAAGAAACTACAGAGAGTTATGTCAGTGATATGGTACACTACACAGTGCCCTGTCAGTTGTGTGGTACAATACAGAGTGCCATGTTAGTGATGTGGTACACTACAGAGTGCCATGTTAGTGATGTGGTACAATACAGAGTGCCATGTCAGTTGTGTGGTACAATACAGAGTGCCATGTCAGTGATGTGGTACAATACAGAGTGCCATGTTAGTGATGTGGTACAATACAGAGTGCCATGTCAGTTGTGTGGTACAATACAGAGTGCCATGTCAGTGATATGGTACACTACAGAGTGCCATGTCAGTTGTGTGGTACAATACAGAGTACCATGTCAGTGATGTGGTACAATACAGAGTGCCATGTCAGTTGTGTGGTACAATACAGAGTGCCATGTCAGTGATGTGGTACAATACAGAGTGCCATGTTAGTGATGTGGTACAATACAGAGTGCCATGTCAGTTGTGTGGTACAATACAGAGTGCTGTGTTAGTGATGTGGTACAATACAGAGTGCCATGTTAGTGATGTGGTACAATACAGAGTGCCATGTCAGTGATGTGGTACAATACAGAGCGCTGTGTTAGTGATGTGGTACACTACAGAGTGCCGTGTCAGTGATGTGGTACACTACAGAGTGCCGTGTCAGTGATGTGGTACACTACAGAGTGTCAGTGATGTGGTACACTGTTAGTGATGTATGCTACAGAGTGCCAGTGATGTATGTTTGTTGCAGGTGTGTTTGGTGGACCCTAAGAAGGACACCCAATGGAAGACAATGCAGACGTACATCCAGACCGATGGAGTTCATGCCAAGGACAGGATCAACACTGAGAGCCACAGTCCAGGTAGCAACCATCATACTTCATCACCACTATTTCTCTTCACATCTCAGTGATACTCTGACAACAATCTGCTGACTCTCTATTCTGTGCTCCAGGATGATACCCCATGTATACCACAGTCTCCCATGTGCCATACCCCATGTACACCAGTCTCCCATGTGCCATACCCCATGTATACCACTGTCTCCTGTGTGTCATACCCCATGTATACCACAGTCTCCCATGTGCCATACCCCATGTATACATACCACTGTCTCCCATGTGTCATACCCCATGTATACCACTGTCTCCTGTGTGTCATACCCCATGTATACCACTGTCTCCTGTGTGTCATACCCCGTCATACCCTATGTGTAGCCAGGAACATACTTTATTACGTACACTACACATGGGGGTAGAGCAAACTTTATTTCAGAAGTAAGGTGAAGTCATGTCTGTTATTCCCACCAGGAACCACATGGTAGTACTCGATTACTGGAGTTGCTTCCCTTCCACCATATAGATGATGTGTGTTCACCAAATATGGCTTGGCCAGCATTGGCTCGGGGATACAATTTACACTATTGCTTGACTGTGTATGCTTGTGGCACTATTTATCTAAGATTAGTGAAGCATAGCTCTATCCCCATTGGTAATAAGTGCAAAATAAGCAGTAAGTGCTGATTGGGGTGGTTTCTTTTACTGAATTAAAACTATGTCATTGCCATTTATGAGTGAAAAAGCATTATGTTCATAATTTGATGAATTAGAAGATAAACATGCTGTGTTTTCAATGTAGAGGGAGGTTACCGTACAATTAATGTTCAATCTACTTTGGTTGCTGAGCTCATGCATTTCCTCATCCACTCCAGCACCAGGGTGTGTTGGTCTGTGTCCCAGCACCGGGTTGTGTTGGTCTGTATCCCAGCACCAGGGTGTGTTGGTCTGTGTCCCAGCACCAGGGTGTGTTGGTCTGTGTCCCAGCACCAGGGTGTGTTGGTCTGTGTCCCAGCACCAGGGTGTGTTGGTCTGTATCTCAGCACCAGGGTGTGTTTAGGCCGTGGGCTAGGTATGACCCACGAGCACCCCCCCCACATCCAAACCCCACTTAATTTTTTTAAAGCCCATAAACATACTAAACATGATTTTGAATGTTAACAAGAAAAAGGTTGGGACGAACTTGTTGTTACAGCCTTTCAAAGTATGGTACCCTATATCGCGTTTTCGCCCGGTTTTGCCGTATATCACTTGGGGGTATGATTACGTTTTGGGTTGTCATCTCACTAGTGATCCACTGATCTTCAAGTGTGATATACCACTGGAATCCATATATAAATACCTCTCCAATGAGGTATCAATAATTGGTATTGAGTGAATATGGACCAACCCATGGCAAATCGAACGTCATATATCCCGACAAAACTTCTTTTTTTTCGCAGAAACCTTTAATCCGATATATGTTCTAGGTACGTGTGCCTGATTCCACTATAATCGTCTAACACGTGTTCCAGTACATCTCTTGAAGTACTTACTTAACATGTGATGTTACCAGGTGAAAATCTTTTGCACAATTTGGAACAAATTTACTCTTATAATGTCAGAGTAGGATACCTAGCTAATATTGCATTCTCGGCTTAGCTACATCGGAACAACGCTTGGATGTATGCTCAGGATTTGGTTTGTCATCTTGTGTGTTATTCACCGACCTTGATGTGTTATATGCCATAGGAAACCATATATAAACACCATAATTTGATGTAGGCTGATTATTGATCTACTTTTGGACAATCATATAGAATACTTCTTGACAACTCTGATATCACTCACTTTGTATGCATATAAGAGGTTCACAGTATAATGCTCGAGTCGATTTCAGAACTTTGAATGAAATGGACCTATGTGTAACATATTCAAGATGGCAACCATAAAGCTGTGCAAAAAAACTGATCATAATGTAAATGTTATTTATTTCAGCAAATATACAAATCAATTTCTTGGACGCAGGCTTGATATTTTGACAAATTTTGCCATTTCAAGTTGAGTTTCAGATGTTTTAGTACAGCTAGTAGTTAAGGTGAATTTGGAGGGGGCACCAACGAAGGTAAAAGACGAATTCACTTACAAACATTTAATTCATACATCACTTAGCTACTTAAGTTTCCAATTTACAGAAAATGTCCAAATGCGAATCGTCCAAATCGTATATGAATGGCTTGAAATGAACAGGGACCATGCATTCACAGAAAAAAATTATATTCCAATTACATACTTAAGATTCTCTTACAGAATAGCCAAGTTAATATATATATGGAAATGTCCCACCTTGTAACAATGTCATCACCATGATTATGTGTCTTTTGAGGTTGAACTGTTGTGACTGAGACCAACAACGTATACAACCGGGAACAACTCGAAGACAGCTTTGACATGTCAACCTAAACGGAAACGTATCTCCAGTGATCCAGAGCCAGTGTGCATCATACACGTACCTGGCTTGAAGTATGGCCAGCTACAACGTCTGAGCAAAGCCAAAGATCCTGATAAGAAGATGGAAAAGCTGAAGGAGTGATCAAGCGTAGAAGGATGACAGAACCTCAAGAAATGCCAAATCAAATGGAAGTGTCATGTACAAGCCTGCCGGCAGTTCTGGAGGAAACCCATGGCTATCACAGAGAATATTGTCAGCGTTTTACAATGAACCTTGACAGTTTGTAACAACCTGAAATTGAATCTTAGGAACTAGCTGGCCGCCCAATTCGGCGTCCATCCTATGAGCCCATCATCTTCCAACCTGACTGCATCTTTTGTACTTCGTCTTCAAGAAAGAAATTCAAGTCAAAAGGAAGCTGGACAACAGAAGGGCTCACAAACTTCAGTCGGGATGGATGGCAGCATGTCATTGAAGTAGCTCAACGTCAAAACGATGAGCCTCTCCTGCTGCGGATCAGAGGGAAGGATCTATTTACCTGTGAAGCAAAATATCACAAGTCGTGCTGAACTGGTTACATACAGATTCCTGAGAAATGGCGGAGCTCTCAATCGTCGGAAGTTATCAACAGCAAGATATTGAAAGAGAAGAAGATCTACTAAAGGCGTATACAGATAGTCTTCAGGACACTGCACACCCAAACCCAGACTACAGGAGTACCAAGTTAAAGAAGAAAATTGTCACATGGGACATTTCCAATCATTCATCGTGTACAACAGATTAATGTTGATTCAGCTATACGAAACGCCTACCAATTAGGTTCGACTGACACGCTTGCACTTTTCTTCTTTAACTTGGTACTCCAGTAGTCTTCTCTTTCAGTTTCTTGCTGTTGATAACTTCCGATACTAATATCATTGCTTTCTTGTGTGCCTCTTCTATTTGATGCTGTCTAAGGTGTTCCTACGGTTGAGAGCTCCGAAATTTCTCAGGAATCTGTAAGTAACCAGTTCAGCACGACTTGTGATAATTTGCTTCACAGGTAAATAGATCCTTCCCTCTGACCCGCAGCAGGAGAGGCTCATCGTTTTGACGTTGAGCTACCTCTGTGACATGCTGCCATCCATCCCGACCGAAGTTTGTGAGCCCTTCTGTTGTCCAGCTTCCTTTTGACTTGAATTTCTTTCTTGAAGACGAAGTACAAAAGATGCAGTCAGGTTGGAAGATGATGGGCTCATAGGATGGACGCCGAATTGGGCGGCCAGCTAGTTCCAAAGATTCAATTTCAGGTTATTTCAAACGGTTAAGGTTCATTGTAAAACGCTGATAATATTCTCTGTGATAGCCATGGGTCCCTTCCAGAACTGCCGGCAGGCTTGTACATGACACTTCCATTTGATTTGGCGTTTCTTGAGGTTCTGCCATCCTTCTACGCTTGATCACTCCTTCAGCTTTTCCATCTTCTCATCCGGATCTTTGGCTTTGCTCAGACGTTGTAGCTGGCCATACTTCAAGCCAGGTACGTGTATGATGCACACTGGCTCTGGATCACTGGAGATACGTTTCCGTTTAGGTTGACATGTCAAAGCTGTCTTCGAGTTGTTCCCGGTTGTATACGTTGTTGGTCTCAGTCACAACAGTTCAACCTCAAAAGACACATAATCATGGTGATGACATTGTTACAATGAGTGAGTGAGTGAGTGAGTTAAAATATTAAGTCAAATCGGCAATATATCAGCCATATCGTGACTATCAATAGTTAATCATAATACATATATTGACACTGATATAAAAACCTGTCAACGAAGGACAGTAAAGTAACTAGATTTGTCACAGAAAAAGATGTAAAACTAGTACGGAATCATAAAAGAGAATAGCACCATACATATCGATACAAGATAAAAACGGGCTAAAGATCGTCAGCAACTGAAGGTAGACCACCATACTGGGGACCATGGGGACTTACAGTACCTTTGCTACCTGCATGGACCCCAGGATGATTTACATCATCCCTTCATCACCTGGCGATTCTATGCAAAGTTAGCCACAAGTATAAAATACAAATATTCTACGTTTAAAATAGTAGTAGGCAGAAATATTCTTTGAATGACATGGACTTACGATATCCTCTCAGGGACATTGTTACAAGGTGGGACATTTCCATATATATTAACTTGGGTATTCTGTAAGAGAATCTTAAGTATGTAATTGGAATATAATTTATTTCTGTGAATGCATGGTCCCTGTTCATTTCAAGCCATTCATATACGATTTGGACGATTCGCATTTGGACATTTTCTGTAAATTGGAAACTTAAGTAGCTAAGTGATGTATGAATTAAATGTTTTTAAGTGAATTCGTCCTTTACCTTCGGTGGTGCCGCCTGCAAATTCACCTTAACTACTAGCTGTACTAAAACATCTGAAACTCAACTTGAAATGGCAAAATTTGTCAAAATATCAAGCCTGCGTCCAAGAAATTGATTTGTATATTTGCTGAAATAAATAACATTTACATTATGATCAGTTTTTTTGCACAGCTTTATGGTTGCCATCTTGAATATGTTACACATAGGTCCATTTCATTCAAAGTTCTG